ATATTTTGGTTTCATCTGACCATATGACATTGGGAGAATGTCATATGGTCAAATGAAACCAAAATTCCAGTGGTCTTGTATGTCTTCCATTTCCTAATAATTGCTCCCACAGTTGATTTCTTCAAACCAAGCTGCTTACCTATTGCAGATTCAGTCTTCCCAGCCTGGTGCAGGTCTACAATTTTGTTTCTGGTGTCCTTTGACAGCTCTTTGGTCTTGGCCATAGTGGAGTTTGGAGTGTGACTGTTTGAGGTTGTGGACAGGTGTTACGGATACAGGTATCCTGTGTCTTTTTGTGTTTTTCCTCTCCTTCTGGCCTAATCACAGGTGTCCTGTATGTTCCTGATTGGTGGTCGTTGGGGTGTCTGCTGATTGCTAAGGTGGACCAATCAGTGAACATTCCTCTGCATTGCACCACCTGTTTCTGGTTTTTCAATCACACATCCCATTGTTTAAAAGCCGGTCAGTTTTGTTTGTTGTTAGAGACTATTTCCGTATGTGAGTATGGATACTGTGGTGTCCTGTGTTTTGTTTACTCACTCATTTGCTGGTTACTCTGTTTGGTAACTTTGTGTGTTTCTGGGAAAAGGGAAATTTAAGCAAGTTGCCCTTGGGCGTACATTACCCGTAGGAAGAAATCTGTCTAAAAACACTAGTTAGACCTGAGCGGACCACCCACTGTACTTTTGTATGATTAGCAGTAGCTTAGCGGTTCTTGAGGCAGGCAAGATCAGTTTAGGGGTGTTTTACACTATTGTTTCATTTCTTGGGTCCTGCTCAGCCCTTTTTCCCAAACCTTTACCGTGTGTTTAAACATAAACCTTTTATGTTTGACGGTAGTTTATGGTTGTCGTGTAGTTTTTGTTCTCACTGTTCCATGTCATCATTCTAATTTGCATGAATTATGTTACGGGTCTCTTCTCCATCCACCCTAGACGTTTAAAGCCACAGGGTTCGTAACAACAGGTGTCTTTTATACTGATAACAAGTTCAAACAGGTGCCATTAATACAGGTAACGAGGGGAGGACAGAGGAGCCTCTTAAAGAAGAAGTTACAGGTCTGTGAGAGCCAGAAATCTTGCTTGTTTGTAGGTGACCAAATACTTATTTTCCACCATAATTTGCAAATAAATTCATTAAAAGTCCTACAATGTGATTTTCTGGATTTTTTTCTCTCAATTTGTCTGTCATAGTTGACGTTTACCTATGATGAAAATTACAGGCCTCTCTCATCTTTTTAAGTGGGAGAACTTGCACAATTGGTGGCTGACTAAATACTTTTTTTCCCCACTGTACCCTTTCCCAGTTCCTGTGTTGTGACATATCAATTAATCACACCTCAATTCTTTCTACTTATTCCACATTTTGTTGTGTTACAGCCTGAATTTAAAATTGATTAAATGTAGATGTTTTGTCACTGGGCTACACAAACAATACCCCCATAATGTCAAAGTGGAATTATGTTTTTCTACATTTTTACAAATTAAATACAAATTCTAAGCTGGAATGTCTTGCGTCAATAAGTGTTCAACCCCTTTGTTATGGCAAGCCTAAATAAGTTCAGGAGTACAAATTGGCTTAAGAAGTCACATAATAAGTTGCATGGACTCACTTGATTTTTTATTTTTGAATGACTACTTCATCTCTTTACCCCACATATATAATGATATGTAAGGTCCCTCAGCCGAGCAGTGAATTTCAAGCACAGATTCAACCACAAAGACCAGAGAGGTTTTCCAATGCGTCGCAAAGAAGGGCACCTATTGGTAGATGGGTAAATAATGTTGCACAATCCAGGTGTGGAAAATGCTTAGACACAGACATTTTTATATATTTTGTATTGTATTTTGCATTGTGTCATGTATTGTATTATGTAGTGTTATGTATATTTTCATTTGTTGTGTTTGGTTTCCTGTTTGGACCCCAGGAAGAGTAGCCACTGCCTTGGCAACAGCTTATTGGGGATCCTAATAAAATACTAAATTAGAGACTTACCCAGAAAGACTCACAGCTGCAATTGCTGCCAAAGGTGCTTCTACAAAGTATTGACTCGGGTGTGTGAATACTTATGTACATGAGATATTTCTGTATTTCATTTTCAATAAATGTGCAAATATTTATAAAAACATGTTTTCACTTTGTCATTATGGGGTATTGTGTGTAGATGGGTGAGAGAAAAATTAATGTAATACATTTTGAATTCAGGCTGTAACACAACAACATGTGGAATAAGTCAAGGGGGTATGAATATTTTCTGAAGGCAGTGTAGTTTACAAATGACAAAATTACATATTGGTTGCCTTACCCTATAAGCAGTCTATTGACAAGGTATGACAGCAATCCATGCCTTGTTTTAGTTTCCCTGACACTTTTCCATTTGTGCAACAAATGCTAAAACGTTAGCGTGTGGAAACTAAACCAAAGCATGGATTGCTGTCATACCTTGTCCATAGACTGCTTACAGAGAATGGAAACCAACATGTAATTTTGTAATTTGAATGAACTATCCACTGTATTTAAATAGATAACAATTGACTTGTTGCTAATGGTCTAATAATCTAGTGACAAGTGTGCCAATGACTTGAATATTCAATTAGTGAAATAAAAACCGTTTAGTCATATTGATGTGAGGAGTTCTAATGAATGTCTCCTTTAGGGACCTGGAGCTTAGTCAGTTAAGGTCAGTATTCAGGAGACTCACAGACAATATAATAATATTTACAGATATGTAGACAGCAGCCAAGGTTTGGATGCCAGGAAAGGGAGGGTATTAAACACATAGAGTATGTATATTATGACTATGAAGACTAGGGGCCTGTTTTCCGGACATAGATTACGTCAGCGTCCCAAACGGCACCCTATTCCCTATATAGTGCACTATTTTTTTACCAAGGTCCATAGAGCTCTAGTCAAAAGAAATGTACTACACTGAGTGTACAAAACATTAAGAACACTGGCCCATGTTGACTCCCTTTGGGTGGTGGATCATTTTTGATGCACATGGGAAACTGTTGAGCGTGAAAAACCCAGCAGCATTGCAGTTCTTGATACAAACCGGTGAACCTGGCACCTACTACCATACCCCATTCAAAGGCACTTAAATATTTTGTCTTTCACCCTCTGAATGGCACACATACACAATCCATGTCTCAATTGTCTCAAGGCTTAAAAATCCTTCCTCAAACTGTCTCCTCCCGTTCGTCTACACTGATTGAAGTGGATTTAACAAGTGACGTCTATAAGGGATCATAGCTTTCACCTGGATTCACCTGGTCAGTCTATGTCATGGAAAGAGCAGGTGTTCTTAATGTTTTGTACACTCAGTGTATATACAGAATAAGCTGCCATTTGGTACAAATTCCATTGGACAATTTCAATTGAACATAGGCCTACATATTTAGCCTTAGACTAAAAAAGTGTCTGGGAAACTGGCCCTAAATATATCCAGATTATGTGGTTGGTTCTTTAAAAGGCCTGTGGTTCAATACCCACCACAACTCTCTGAGTCATCACAGGGATGATGCTGCCTTTCTCACTTCAAAGGGATCTGAGATATTTCGAGAAGATTATTTCTCTGCGTTAGCAGATGTTCAAACCCCTACTGGTTATTTCTCTGCGTTAGGAGCTGTTCAAACCCCTACTGGTTATTTCTCTGCGTTAGGAGCTGTTCAAACCTCTACTGGTTATTTCTCTGCGTTAGGTGTTGAATTATTTAACCAGCTACTGTACTGCCAGGTTCTGTCGCAACTGGCACCCTATTCCCTATATAGTCAAAGATGATCTATTATATTGAGAAGATAGCCGAGTGGCTGCTCTAACACTTCAATGACTGAAGGCAGTCGAGATCAGGTGGGACCATTCTAGCCAATGAGAGGGCAGATACATGGATGAACAACAGGCACAACTAAGACATAAAAAAAATAATAATAATAAAAAAAAATAAAAAAAAAACTTGCTGGAATGCCATGTGCATCCACTTATCAGTACGTTTGTAACAGCCAAAACATTACGAAACTTCAATTAGATAAAATAAACCTCACGTAATTCGACACTCTCATAGACCTCCATACAAAAAAGGGCTTATCTCACGTGGACAGATTTTGGACGGAAGTAGTGTCCTACATTTGACCAGGGCCCATAGGGAATAGGGTTCCATTTGAGACACACTCCTAGACTCTTCAGGAAGACAGAGTCACGTACTGTATAGCCCTGGTCCTCCAGATCAGACAACAAGCACGAATTAAGGCGAAAGCAGAAGTATAGAATCTATATGCTCTGCGATAGTAATAATAGTTCATATGGTAAAGGTGCTCTTCGGTTTCCCAGGCTTGTAGCATTAACAAAGAAATTGGAGGCTAAACTTGTAGGATATAAAAAATACCAAAGCACTCTTACCAGGTAGTTGCAGTTAAAACAACTATATTGAGTTGGCGTGTCCATGTAGCAAAGTTAAAACAAGGCAAACAAGTTTGAGTTTGTTGTGTCATATTTTTGGTGCATTTTGTTCAGTCTCCCAAATCCTTTACTCTTCGTGAAAATAATGTCCTTTGCTACAGCACTGAACATAAACACTTCTGTCTAGCTAGAAAAGGATACCAGCCAGCTCTGAAGGCTAGGGCGAATGTCACTAATGTAACTGATTCCCCCTACAGCCATTCATACACATTTCATATCTGGGCCCCTTCTCCTGTGACACACACTCTCCCCTCGGAGGGCACTAAAAGGAATGACCCTGCCTTTTCTGGAATAATCTTATCAATAAGAGATGTGTGGAGGTTTGGTCTTTGTCCCAAATGGCACCCTTTATAGTGCACTAGTTTTGATCTGGGCCCATAAGGCTCTGGTCAAAAGTAGTGCACTATATAGGGAATAGGGTGCCATTTGGGACACATCCTTGGTGTAAGTAGGATGGCCTGGGTATAGCCTGTGTGTCAGAGGGAGGCAATTGTTGTTTGACGTTGTTAAATATTACAAGCTGTACTTTACGGCAAATAACGCTAGAAAGTTGTTGCAGAGATGATGAACTCTCCAGGAATAAAGAGAAGCATGCACGCACGCACACACACACACACACACACCACCCACACACACACTAGATGCTTACCTATACAGCGAGGCTGGAATCCGCTCCAGGAGCCGTCAGCCTGGCACATGCGTGTAGTGGAGCCCACCGGGATATAGGGGGCGCTACAGCTGAACGACACCTCTGACTGGTAGATGAAGCTGAGGCCCTCTCTGGAGCCATGGGCAGGAACACCAGGGTCCCCACAGAACTTGGCTACAACAACAGCAGAGCAAGAATAGCAGATCAAAATGAACATAAAAAAAACACACAGGAGCAATGTTACTGGGTTTTCCTATAGTGTGTTTTTGATTGAACTTCAGTAAGAGGAGGGTGATGGGAAATCTGTCCAGATCGAATTGGAAACAACAACAAAAAACTTGCAGGATCATTGTAATTGAACTCCTGTATGTCTTTGTATCTGTGATCCTTACAGATCGAAAGGAACATTCCAAAAACACACAAGAGCAATGTTAGCGAGTTTTGCCCCAGTGAGGGTTAGCTTGAACTCCTGCCACAGTTTCTCGTTGTATCTGTGATCCTGGCAGGCACCATGGGAGGAGAAGATGGAGTCTTACAGACCAGACTAACATGAATGACATTGTCCCTCAAAGGGCTCGAAGCGGTCATTGAGCACTGTCCATCATTGGCTGTCCATCAAACACTTTGTCTGTCCAGGAAGAATCAATAATAGATGTCGCCTTCACGAACTGCCGATACATTATAAATGTGCCAAACAAGACTCCCTCTCTTACTGTCTGGGAACTAGAAGGACTACAAACTTGACTTTTTCTTGATGAATAATAGATATGCTGTCAAAATATAAAAAAAGAGAGGAAGAGCGACTAGAGAACAGAGCGAGGGGTTGAGAGAGCGAAAGAGAGCAGAGAGGGTAGGGAACAGAGATGTAGAGCGAGAAGAAGAACAAAAAAAAGTGTGCTCCCTGCAAGATTACAAAGTCCCAGGCAGCCATTCTTTAGTTCATTCCCATTGGAGCCTAAGTTTCCATAGCCTCTGCAGCAGCTGTACATTCGTCAGTGTTCTGAAGGGTGGGGATCGGAAATTAGAACTACCTTGTGGACCTTTTAACCTGCTCTCCCCTCCACTCCTTCTTTCCTCCACCTCCTCCCCTTCAACCCCTCCGCCCACTCTCTTTTGTAGCTCTGCCTGATGACCCAATGGGGCAGGCAGTTAAGAACTCATTAATTGTGCGCAGATTACCCCCTCTGTTCTTCACTCATGCTCTCTGTCATATGAAGACAGACTGACAGGGTGCGGGTAAGTGACTAAACACTGAGTCGGGTGTGTGAATTATGATTCCCTGGGTGTCTTTCTGTATAGAGACAATTCTCCAGGTGTAGAATTGATGGTTGGGTCCTCTGATGTTTAAATAGGCCTTCTTAAGTCTCTGAGTTATTATGATTCCCTGGCTTGCTAGAGAGAGAATTCTCAATAGGTGTAAGATAGATGGCCGGATCCTCTGATGTTCAAATAGGCCTTCTAAGGTTTCTGAGTCGTGACAGGTTGTGGAGAGAAAAAGAAAAACAGTGGAGTTAATTACACTGTATTATTTATAATGACTAATAACGGGACTGAAGCCTTGTCTCAGCAAGACTCAACCTTTTCAAACAGAGGCTTTCAAGAATCCGTTACGAGGGTGAACCCAGCCTGCCACACGCATTGACATTGTAACTTTGGAGATGAGTTCCATTCAGATCTGTGTGTGTGTTTGGACGTTTTGGATCGTGTATGAGGGTGTTTGTGTGTGTGTGTGTGAGACTTGGTCACACTTTTCTGGTGCCTGTCTATCATTGGGCACAGCTGCTTCATGGTGGAAGCCTCCCACCTCCAGCCTCCCATTACCTGCCCTTTAACGGGAGACCTCTGCTAGTATTTTCAATTCAATTTACTATCTAATCTGTAGTACATCACAGTTCCCCCTTGTTCCGCCCTCGGTCCGTTTTGCGTCAAATTAATGTGATGGAAATCATGAAGGACGTTAATGTCGAAATGATTGAGTTTGACTGATGTCCCTAAAACGTGTGGAAGATCGTCCGACCAGACCAAGGGCCTTATGAATGGGCGCTTCCTCCTCTAACTCAGCTGTCAGTCAATCAACCAACGACACAAAGAACCTTGGTGATTTTTTTTGGTTCCTTTACAGAGGAGAGCAAGGTGACAGTTGTAGCATTCATTCTGCAGCACTTTGTTTCAACTACGGTGTCAGATATCCAGAACGAAGAAAAATAAAACCGAACAATAACCCACAAAAAACATATAACCTTTTTCCATAGCACTTTAGTGGGCAGTGCTGACATAACAGGAAACGACAGGGAAATAACACTAACGACAGAGAAATAACAGGAAACGACAGAGAAATAACAGGAAATGACAGGGAAATAACAGGAAATGACAGGGAAATAACACTGTAACGATGGAGAAATAACAGGAAACGACAAGGAAATAACAGGAAACGACAGGGAAATAACAGGAAACTACAGGGAAATAACACTAACGACAGAGAAATAACAGGAAACGACAGGGAAATAACAGGAAACGACAGTGAAGTAACAGGAAACGACAGGGAAATAACACAGTAACGACAGGGTAACATCGCAGTAATAACCCGTTCATAGTTAGTACCTAGCTGCTAAATAACTTTATAAAGTGTGACGAATTGTCCTGGTTGTTATGTAGAAACAATTATTCATTACTTATAGCTAGAATCCTTAATGGTGAAACTGCCACGTCCATTTGCGATATTGCAGCAACAAAGAAGTACTGCAAAACTGTTTACCCTGTTGCACTACGCTCCTCTGCTTCGTCAAACAAAACAAAACAAAAACAACGGCTGTAGGGCGGACAGTGGTGCTATTTCCCCCTACTGCGAATTCCATCTTTAAGAACTATGAATAATAGAGGATAATAAGCATAAGGTAGCTTAGTGGTTAAGAGCGTTGTGCCAGTAACCGAAAGGTCGCTGGTTCTAATCCCCTCAGGTGAAAAATCTGTCGATGTGCCCTTGAGCAAGGCACTTAACCCTAATTGCTCATGTAAGTCGCTCTGGATAAGAGTGTCTGCTAAATGACTAAAATATAAATATAAATATATATGTAGAAAGTATTCAAGTCCATTTTCACCTGTTCTCAGTAGCACTGTTTATACTGATGTGGAATGTACTTGGAACGTTCTTAGAAAGGCTGTTTATCAAACAGAAACCACAGCCCCATTGTGTGATATAAGACAACAAAACACATACTGTATCTAAGGTCTGCACAGCACAGTACAATGTTTCTAGATGCAGGGTGCATGCATGTTTTTAGTAAAAACGACATCATTTATAACCGGTGCATTAGAATGGATGAGGAGGGTATTCAACTTAAAACGAGATAAATCTATCTACATTTCTAACATGACTACTTGTCTCCTCTCTTGGGAACCAAACGTATCACAGAGCATTGTGATGTTGCCTAACCACTATTCCAGCACACTTTTGCCTGGTGGCTGTTGCCTGTTCTAGGCCACACAGCTCTGGCAGGGGGCACAGTAGGATGTAGTAGGGGATTTAATATCCCCTGCACGCTAAGGCCAGGTCTCTTAAAGTGTCTCAGAATAGGAGTGCTGATCTAGGATCCGGTACCGCCCTGTCAATTAATTGTCATCTAAAAAGAAAAACTGATCCTAGATCAGCACTCCTATTCAGAGATGCTTTATGGATACGGGCCCTGAGACCAGCCCCTATTGAATAATGGAAGACACATTGGGGCAGTGTGGATCTCTATTGGCTGGGAACATGCCTACCTACTCACCTCTGGCACAGAAGTCAGAGTGTAGAGAAAAAAACGGGCAATTCAAGAGGGTCCTAAAAAATCAAATCTCAAAACGTAGTTTTCTTTGCCCTATGTCATTATACATTACATAGAATAAATCATTATATTGTTCTCTACAATATTATAACCTTAATATACTTGTACTTCAGTATTGATTAAATAAGAACGTGAATTTGCTGTGACCGTTTCTATTTTAGACTGCGCCGCTCTTGGTTGTATCTCTTCCATATTTGGTGTTGTGAGTTGGTACCATTTGGAGGTGTTTCTGCTGGTAGGACCAATCATATTCAACTTGATAGCTTCGTCATTTTCACCTCCAGATCCTTGGCTTTCATTGCCTATACAAGCGATCAATCTATGTTGAGAGGAGCCGTTTCTACGGCGATTTAAAGGGAAAGACTCAGAAATACAAAATGAAAACAGGAACAGATTGTCTTCGCGGAGGGTTTATATTGAAATTCAGTCTCTTAGCTTAGTAAATAAATATATATTTAGTCCCTATTTAGTTTTGCATTCAGTGGATTTCATTTAGAAAAAGCCCATGCTTTCACTCAGGAACCTGCAGCCGACTAGTTAGCTTGTCAGTTGACGTTCGAAGTTAGCGCCGTTCTGTCGCGGAGCAGCGTCACAGAGTTCTATTGAGCAGTGACCTCTTTTTGATCATGCCTGTGATGACATTCCATTCACTGTAAACATGCTAAATTTATGGTAGGGACATGGGGTTTGGTCTATGTTTTTTTTTGACGGAATTCTCTATTGGGACATATTTGTATAAACCTTTAATGAATGAATCATTTTATGGGTGAACACACTACAGAGTGTTTTCTGGGAGCTAACATAATCAAAACATTAGCGCCCAACAACCTGCCCGCTTGACCCTATCCCCTCCTCTCTTCTCCAGACCATCTCCAGTGACCTTCTCCCTTACCTCACCTCGCTGATCAACTCATCCTTGACCGCTGGCTATGTCCCTTCCGTCTTCAAGAGAGCGAGAGTTGCACCCCTTCTCAAAAAACCAACACTCGATCCCTCTGATGTCAACAACTACAGACCAGTATCCCTTCTCTCTTTTCTCTCCAAAACTATTGAGCGTGCCGTCTTTAGCCAACTCTCTTGCTATCTCTCTCAGAATGACCTTCTTGATCCAAACCAGTCAGGTTTCAAGACTGGTCATTCAACTGAGACTGCTCTTCTCTGTGTCACGGAGGCTCTCCGCACTGCTAAAGCTAACTCTCTCTCCTCTGCTCTTGTCCTTCTAGACCTGTCTGCTGCCTTTGATACTGTGAACCATCAGATCCTCCTCTCCACCCTCTCCGAGCTGGGCATCTCCGGCGCGGCTCACTCTTGGATTGCGTCCTACCTGACCGGTCGCTCCTACCAAGTGGCGTGGCGTGAAGCTGTCTCCTCACCACGTGCTCTCACCACTGGTGTCCCCCAGGGCTCAGTTCTAGGCCCTCTCCTATTCTCGCTATACACCAAGTCACTTGGATCTGTCATATCCTCACATGGCCTCTCCTATCATTGCTACGCTGACGACACACAACTAATCTTCTCCTTTCCCCCTTCTGATAACCAGGTGGCGAATCGCATCTCTGCATGTCTGGCAGACATATCAGTATGGATGACGGATCACCACCTCAAGCTGAACCTTGGCAAGACGGAGCTGCTCTTCCTCCCGGGGAAGGACTGCCTGTTCCATGATCTCGCCATCACGGTTGACAACTCCGTTGTGTCCTCCTCCCAGAGTGCGAAGAGCCTTGGCGTGACCCTGGACAACACCCTGTCGTTCTCCGCTAACATCAATGCGGTGACCCGATCCTGTAGGTTCATGCTCTACAACACTCGGAGAGTACGACCCTGCCTTACACAGGAAGCGGCACAGGTCCTAATCCAGGCACTTGTCATCTCCCGTCTGGATTACTGCAACTCGCTGTTGGCTGGGCTCCCTGCCTGTGCCATTAAACCCCTACAACTCATCCAGAATGCCGCAGCCCGTCTGGTGTTCAACCTTCCCAAGTTCTCTCACGTCACCCCGCTCCTCCGCACACTCCACTGGCTTCCAGTTGAAGCTCGCATCTGCTACAAGACCATGGTGCTTGCCTACGGAGCTGTGAGGGGAACGGCACCTCCGTACCTTCAGGCTCTGATCAGTCCCTACACCCAAACGAGGGCATTGCGTTCATCCACCTCTGGCCTGCTGGCTCCCCTACCTCTGCGGAAGCATAGTTCCCGCTCAGCCCAGTCAAAAACTGTTTCGCTGCTCTGGCACCCAAATGGTGGAACAAGCTCCCTCACGACGCCAGGACAGCGGAGTCACTCACCACCTTCCGGAGACATTTGAAACCCCACCTCTTTAAGGAATACCTGGGATAGGATAAAGTAATCCTTCTACCCCCCCCTTACCCCAAAAAGATTTTTTTTTTTTTGTAAAGTGGTTATCCCACTGGCTATAAGGTGAATGCACCTATTTGTAAGTCGCTCTGGATAAGAGCGTCTGCTAAATGACGTAAATGTAAATGTAATGGTGGGGGGGAAGGTAAGAAGCAAATGTTCAGGGGAGATGGAGATGGAACATTGTAGTGTCTTTGCATCCCTCTTGGCACTGTATCAAATAGAGCCACAAGCATCAGCTCAGTACCTCCAAATGCATATTATCAGTATGGCTAAATATTTTGCGCTAAAAAACATTACATTATAGTCTTGCTAGTATCACATTCTAGGAATTCGAAGGAGAAAGAGTGTGAGAGAGACAGGAGCGTTTCTGCTTGGCCTCCCGAATGACAATGGCAGGTGTGGAGGTGAGCACCGTGGTCAGGTGATGTTTACACCTGTTCCCTGAGTGGCCACCTGCCACCGATGTGTGTCTCTCGGGCCAATGAGGGCGTAGTCCCCACTAACAAGGGTAAATGCGGGTCCAAGTACCACTAGAGCTATAGAGAAAGTACCATTTGTGAACATGATAACAGGGGAACAGAGTTTGCTTTAAAATACAGTGCTGAAACACCATAGGCACACTAAAACTATGAATGAAGTAGCAGTAAAAACCATAACTACTTATGTATAGTCAATAATAACATGGTACGTGTACCTGTTTGCACACCACCTGTACGGACTGGATAACTATGAACTACAAGCAAAATACCCAAAAGGTACGTTTTGTGGTTGGCCTACATACAGTATAAGTATGATGTAGTTTCTCAAACCTTTTTGTTAAATAAACGGTTTTTCAAAGAACGTTCCAAGTACATTGTACATAAGTATAAATGGTGCTACTGAGAACAGGTGAAAATGGCCTTGAATACTTACTACATAACTTATGCTCTATTATTTATAGTTCTGAAGTAATTAATAATTGTTTCTATATAACAACCAGGAACATTCTTCACACTTTATATCCTTTTGGCACACTTAAAATCTTTATTAGCAGTTACATACTAACTATGAACAGGCTTTTATGGCATTGTTACCCTGTCGTTACCCTGTCGTTACCCTGTTGTTTCCCTGTTGTTTCCTGTTATTTCCCAGTTGTTTCCTGTTATTTCCCTGTTGTTTCCTGTTATTTCCCTGTTGTTTCCTGTTATTTCCCTGTTGTTTCCTGTTATTTCCCTGTTGTTTCCTGTTATTTCCCTGCCGTTACCCTGTTCTTTCCCTGTTGTTTCCTGTTGTTTCCCTGTCATTACACTGTTATTTCCCTGTCGTTACCTGATATTAACCTGTTGTTTCATTTTTTTCTCCCCAATTTCGTGGTATCCAATTGGTAGTTACAGTCTTTTCCCATCGCTGCAACGTACGGACACGGGAGAGGCGAAGGTCGAGAGCCGTGCATCCTCCGAAACACAACCCAACCAAGCCCCATTGCTTCTGGACACAATGCCCGCTTAACCTGGAAGAACACCGTACACCTGGCGACCGTGTCAGCGTGCACTATGCCTGGCCCGCCACAGGAGTCGCTAGTGCGCGATGGGACAGTTGGACGACGCTGGGCCAATTGTGCGCCGCCCCATGGGTCTCCCCATGGGTCTCCCGGTCGCGACCGGCTGCGACAGAGCCTGGACTCGAACCAGGATCTCTAGTGGCACAGCTAGCGATGTACTGCCTTAGACCACTGCGCCACTCGGGAGGCCCTAACCTGTTGTTTCTAATAAAGATTAGGCAATTGGTTTAAAAAAACAAAAATATTAATCTCTGTAACTGACTATAGTCATAGAACTGTAGAGTGGACATCTTATTCAAACTGAAACAAGGAAACAAGAACATGAAGAACGCAACAAAATGTACATTTCACACTGAGTGTTAGTGCTACTGCAGAGAGAGTGAAGATGCATCGATGTGTTAGTGCTACTGCAGAGAGTGTGAAGCTGCATCAATGTGCAAGAGTGGAAAAAGAGAGAGCGAGAGAGAGAGTGAGAGTGAGAGTGAGAGTGAGAGAGAGAGAGAGAGAGAGAGACAGAGACAGAGACAGAGACAGAGACAGAGACAGAGACAGAGACAGAGAGAGAGAGACAGAGACAGAGACAGAGACAGAGAGAGAGAGAGAGAGACAGAGACAGAGACAGAGACAGAGACAGAGACAGAGACAGAGACAGAGACAGAGACAGAGAGAGACAGAGACAGAGACAGAGAGAGAGAGAGAGAGAGAGAGAGAGAGAGAGAGAGACAGAGACAGAGACAGAGACAGAGACAGAGAGAGAGAGAGAGAGAGAGAGAGAGAGAGAGAGAGAGAGAGAGAGAGAGAGAGAGAGAGAGAGGCACAAAACAACAGAAAACAAAATAACAGGAGAGAAGATGAGAGGTGTTACTCACGTAGGCACTGAGGCACCATTCCGTTCCAGGTGCCGTTGCCCACGCAGGTGAGGATGGCAGGGAATGACAGCTCGTACCCTGGGGAGCAACTGTAGCTCACGCTGGTGCCCCACTCAAAGTCTGTACCCTCCAGGACTCCGTTGGAGATGGCAGAGGGCGCCGCGCAGGTCACCGCTATGGGGGGAGAGGGGGGAGAAGAGGGGAGAAGAGGGGAGAGAGGTGAGAAATAGGGTTTGGGTGTAGTGGGAGAGAGGACAGGGAGAAAGAGGAGGAGAGAGAGGAGTGAGAGGTGAGGAAGAAGGAGATGGGGAAGGAGAGCGGGAGTCATACGTAGGCCTGCGCCGCCCCGATGGGAGGAAGTCTCTTGCATGAGCTGGTGCTTCCTCGGCGTCTGCGCTAGATGTCTGCGAGCTCTCGTCTAGTCTTTCTCTTCTCTCGTCGTCTCGCCTCTGCTCTCATCTCTCGAGCTCTTTCTCGCTTCGTCTCGTTCCTCTTTCGCCTCTCTCTTCGCGCTCGGTCGTTCGGGGGCCTCGGCTCGTGTGCGTTGCGTATATCCGGCACCCGTGGAGCGGTTGTTTACTCTAAGGAGAGGGAGTAATACTTTAATCAATGCTGAATTACTCACTTACTTAACCCTCTTTATCCCTGTAGGGATATCATTAATCAATTAGGCATGAATCATACTTTACTTAACCCTCTTTATCACTGTAGGGATATCAGCAATCAATTAGGCAAGAATCATTCTTTACTTAACCCTCTTTATCACTGTAGGGATATTATGAATCAATTAGGCAAGAATCATACTTTACTTAACCCTCGTTATCTCTGTAGGGTTATCCTGAATCAATTGTACTTTTTTTGTACTTTTTAGTCATTTAGCAGACGCTCTTATCCAGAGCGACTCACAGTTAGTGAGTGCATACATTTTCATACTGCCCCCCCGTGGGAAACGAACCCACAACCCTGGCATTGCAAGCATCATGCTCTACCAACTGAGCTACAGGGGACTACTAGGCATGAATCATACTTTATGATTCCATTCATGGCATAAAGGCAAACAGCGAACACACAAGAAACCTTTGGGAAATGGCCAAAGCCGGGCTAACAACTAAAACAACACATGTTCATAATCTTAGGTAATGAGGCCGAAGGAATATTTGTAAATTTGCCATCCTTAGTGGACATTTACTACCAGCTGTCTAACTGAAACAGAGCTAATGGCTTTCTCTCAGAGCTCTAAGCTCTGGGTGTGATGATAACTGAGTCCCAAATAGCACACTACTCCCTATATAGTGCACTACGGCAGAGAGAGTCAAAGGGACTGTTTGTTTGTCTGTGTGCCACAGCCTACGCCACGCTTGAGTAGGTGAGAGGGCCAGGCTGGATGACTCATGTTGCGCTCTGTAGAGTGCGTCTCTCTCTCTTTCTCTTCCGTGTCTGTTTTTCACACTGAGTTCTCCCAACTACGATGTGGATACAGCATACTCCTCCTCTCACTGAACTACAGTAAGTAACAGCAGAAATCGTAGGCTTTCCAAAAAATTGCATGGTGGATACACTCCTCTCACCAAATTACAGTAACAGCAGATAGAGCTTTCTAGAAGACAGTTATGTGAGGGTTGGTTTGGGCAGAAACAGGCTTTATAGAAGACAATTCTGTGAGGGTTGGTTTGGGCAGAAACAGGCTTTATAGAAGACAATTCTGTGAGGGTTGGTTTGGGCAGAAACAGGCTTTATAGAAGACAATTCTGTGAGGGTTGGTTTGGGCAGAAACAGGCTTTATAGAAGACTGTTCTAAGAGGGTTGGTTTGGGCAGAAACAGGCACTATTTTGGAAAGCCTACCACCTTGGATACAGTCATCTCACTATGGATAGCCTTTCCAAAAGATGGGGTTGGTTTGGGCAGTAACAGCACTGTGGATACTAGGCCTATTCCTTATACTACATAGTGCCCTTCTTTCGACCAGAACCCATTGGCACCCGATTCCCTACATAGTGCCCTTCTTTTGACCAAGGCCGATTGGCACCATATTCCCTATGTAGTCCATTACATTTGACCAGAACCCTTTGATTGGGAGGGTAGTGATTCCCTCCCAATGAAATGAATCAGCTGACTATGAAAACAAACAAACACATTAGTCCAGCTCAATGGAGCTTTTTGATGATTGGCTGCTCTTACTGCCATCTCTGTGCTATAGTAATAAAGGCAACAAACGTGTAATAAAATCCCAAATGTTGTATTAATATTCTGAATTAGTTTCGGACACGCTTGGTAGCCCCTCCATTGAGAGTGGACCAGCTTGGCTTGTACTAACCTAATGAATAATACGTTTAAGCAGTAGTTTCACAACTCCAGCGTCACAACAGTAGTGTAGAACTTCTACAGCTTCCTGTGACAGATCATCCATTCCACAGGAAGTTGTCACATACACACAGTACACAATACAGCTGCACGCATGCATGCACACGCAATTTTCTGTAAAAAAAAAAGGCAATGTTAGACTTTCACCCATCCACCTCCATTAGGCTACTTTCCATCCAATCACCAACATCCAACCTGTGCATCATAAGAATGTATGGCACCAAAATCAAATCAAATTTTATTTGTCACATCCGCCGAATACAACGTGTAGACCTTACAGTGAAATGCTTACTTACAAGCCCTTAACCAACAATGCAGTTTTAAGAAAAATAAGTGTTACGTAAAAAATTGATAAGTAAAAAAAAAAAAGAAATAAAAAGAAATAACAAATATTTAAAGAGCAGCAGTAAAATAACAGTAGCGAAGCTATATACAGGGGGTACCGGTACAGAGTCAATGTGCGGGGGCACAGGTTAGTCGAGGTAATTGAGATAATATGTACATATAGGTAGAGTTAAAGTGACTATGCATAGATAATAAACAGAGAGTAGCAGCAGCGTAAGGGGGGGGGGGGGGGGGGGGGGGGGGCAATGCAAATAATCTGGGTAGCTAATTGATTAGCTGTTCAGGAGTCTTATGGCTTGGGGGTAGAAACTGTTAAGAAGCCTTTTGGACCTAGACTTGGCGCTCCGGTACCGCTTGCCGTGCGGTAGCAGAGAGAACAGTCTATGACTAGGGTGGCTGGAGTCTTTGACAATTTTTAGGGCCTTCCTCTGACACCACCTGGTATAGAGGTCCTGGATGGCAGGAAGCTTGGCCCCAGTGATGTACTGGGCCATACGCACTACCCTCTGTAGTGCCTTGCGGTCGGAGGCCAAGCAGTTGCCATACAAGGCGGTGATGCAACCAGTCAGGATGCTCTCGATGGTGCAGCTGTATAATTTTTTGAGGATCTGAGGACCCATGCCAAATCTTTTCAGTCTCCTGAGGGGGAATAGGCTTTGTCATGCCCTCTTCACGACTGTCTTGGTGTGTTTGGACCATGATAGTTTGTTGGTGATGTGGACACCAAGGAACTTGAAGCTCTCAACCTGTTCCACTTTAGCCCCGTCGATGAGAATGGGGGCGTGCTCGGTCCTCCTTTTCCTGTAGTCCACAATCATCTCCTTTGTCTTGATCACGTTGAGGGAGAGTTTGTTATCCTGGCACCACACGGCCAGGTCTCTGACCTCCTCCCTATAGGCCAGGGTTCTTCAATTCCGGTCCTGGAGGGCCGAAAAACTTAACTGAATTAGCCCCTGATTAGAAGGAGAGGATGAAAAACAGAGGTGTTTCGGCCCTCCAGGACCGGAATTGAAGAACCCTGCTATAGGCTGTCTCATTGTTGTCGGTGTCATCGGCAAACTTAATGATGGTGTTGGAGTCGTGTCTGTCCATGCAGTCATGGGTGAACAGGGAGTACAGGAGGGGACTGAGCACGCACCCCTGAGGGGCCCCCGTGTTGAGGATCACCATGGCAGATGTGTTGTTACCTACCCTTACCACCTGGGGGCGGCCCGTCAGGAAGTCCAGGATCCAGTTGCAAAGGGAGGTGTTTAGTCCCAGGGTTCTTAGCTTAGTGATGAGCTTTGAAGGCACTATGGTGTTGAACGCTGAGCTGTAGTCAATGAATCGCATTCTCACGTAGGTGTTCCTTTTGTCCAGGTGGGAAATGGCAGTGTGGAGTGCAATAGAGATTGCATCATCTGGTGATCTGTTGGGGTGGTATGCAAATTGGAGTGGGTCTAGGGTTTCTGGGATAATGGTGTTGATGTGAGCCATGACAAGCCTTTCAAAGCGTCGTCTGCTAAATGACGTAAATGTGCCCTTGAGCAAGGCACTTAACCCTAATTGCTCCTGTAAGTCGCTCTGGATAAGAGCGTCTGCTAAATGACTAAAATGTAAAATGTAAATGTAAAGCACTTCATGGCTAAAGATGTGAGTGCTATGGGTCTGTAGTCATTTAGGCAGGTTACCTAAGTGTTCTTGGACACAGGGACTATGGTGGTCTGCTTGAAACATGTTGGGATTACAGACTCAGTCAGGGACAGGTTGAAAATATCAGTGAAGACACTTGCAAGTTGGTCAGTGCATGCTCGCAGTACACGTCCTGGTAATCCGTCTTTGTAAATGGTGACCTGTTTAAAGGTCTTACTCACATCGGCTCCGTAGAGCGTGATCACACAGTTGTCCTGAACAGCTGATGCTCTCATGCATGCTTCAGTGTTGCTTGCCTCGAAGCGAGCATAGAAGTAATTTAGCTCATCTGGTAGGCTCGTGTCACTGGGCAGTTCGCGGCTGTGCTTCCCTTTGTAGTCTGTAATAGTTTTCAAGCCCTGCCACATCCGACGAGCGTCGGAGCCAGTGTAGGATGATTTAATCTTGGTCCTGTATTGACGCTTTGCCTGTTTGATGGTTCGTCAGAGGGCATAGCGGGATTTCTTATAAGCGTCCGGGTTAGAGTCCCGCTCCTTGAAAGCGGCAGCTCTACCCTTTAGCTCATTGCGGATGTTGCCTGTATTCCATGGCTTCTGGTTGGGGTATGTACGTACGGTCACTGTGGGGACGACGTCATCAATGCACTTATTGATGAAGCCAGTGACTGATGTGGTGTACTCCTCAATGCCAATGGAAGAGTCCCGGAACATATTCCAGTCTGTGCTAGCAAAACAGTCCTGTAGCTTAGCATCTGCGTCATCTGACCACTTCTTTATTGACCGAGTCACTGGTGCTTCCTGCTTTAGTTTTTGCTTGTAAGCAGGAATCAGGAGGATATAATTATGGTCAGATTTGCCAAATGGAGGGTGAGGGAGAGCTTTGTACACGTCTCTGTTTGTGGAGTAAAGTTGGTCTAGAGTTTTTTTTCCTCTGGTTGCACATTTAACATTAGGTAAAACATATTTAAGTTTCCCTGCATTAAATTCCTGGCCACTAGGAGCGCCGCCTCTGGATGAGCATTTTGCTTATGGCCTTATACAGCTCATTGAGTGCGGTCTTAGTGCCATCATCGGTTTGTGGTGGTAAATACAGATGAAACCTCTCTTGGTAAATAGTGTGGTCTACAGCTTCTCATGAGATACCTAGAGACTTCCTTAATATTAGATTTTGTGCACCAGCTATTGTTTACAAATATACACAGACCACCACCCCTTGTCTTACCGGAGGCGGCTGTTCTATCTTACCGATGCAGCATAAACCCTGTATGTTATCCATGTCGTCGTTCAGCCATGACTTGTTGAAACATAAGATATTACAGTTTTTAATGTTCTGTTGGTAGGATATTCGTGATCTTAGCTCGTCCATTTTGTTATCCAATGATTGTACGTTGGCTAATAGGACTGATGGTAGAGTCAGATTATCCACTCGCCATCGGATCCTTACAAGGCACCCCGACCTACGTCCCCGATATCTCCGTCTCTTTCTCCTGCGAATGAATGGGATTTGGGCCTTGTCGGGTGTCTGAAGTAAATCCTTCGCGTCCGACTCGCTAAAGAATCAATCTTCGTCCATTACGAGGTATATAATCGCTGTCCTGATATCCAGAAGCTCTTTTCGGTCATAAGAGACAGTGGCAGAAACATTATGTACAAAATAAGTTACAAATAACGCGAAAAAACACACAATTGGTTAGGAGCCCGTAAAACGTCAGCCATCTCCTCCGGCGCCATCTACCAAGATATCACTCTGCAGCTGTTCCATATGAATGGACAACAACACACTTTCACACAGCCAAGAGATGAAACTAAAACCTGTACAAATGGATGGAGATATCTGTGTTGATTGTAATTGGTCCAAGATTATCGTAAGAAGCTGCATTTTATGCATGTTGAGAAAGCTTTTTATGAAGAAGATAAACCTTTTCTGCCTAACAATAACAACAACAACAACAACAACAAAACAGGATGTTGGTCCTACAATAACAAACCAAAGCACACTGCTATGCTTTATTTAAACCCTTTTATCACTGTGACAGCTAACAGGACACAATGATATATGGGCTACTGTTGCTAAGGGCAACAGTGTGGAAAGCAGGAGGTGTGCAGTGTTACTGTGAATAAGCTATAACAATCTGTATTGAAACTGGTGGTGATTCCATAGGGAAGACAAGCCAAGACATCTCTTTTTTGGACAATGGGAACATTGATTAGTTACTCCCTAAGACTTGGCTCATTGAAATCTATTCTAAAGTGTAGATACACATATTCAAACACTCAAAATGAAGTAGTCAGGGGAACAAACCAACCAAACAAAGGCTCATAAGTGTTGCTGGACCCTACCTTTGAAAGATGCCATGATGCCAAAATGTTATTAGATATGTTCCACAGAGTATTATAGGTAATGAAGTACATCATGCTATACATGTGTTGCTAGGTCTCACCTTGGCAGGATGCCATGATGCCACTCCAGGTGCCGTTGGAGGTGCAGGTGCGTATGGCCGAGCTGTCGGCCTCCATGGTGTATCCCGGCGCACACAGGAATGTGATGTTCTGACCAATATCAAAGTCCTCTCCATACCTCATCCCATTGGCTGGAACCCCAGGGTCGCCACAGTTGATCACTGTGATTAAGGGCGAGAATAAAGGAAGGGAAGGGAGGAGGGAGGGAGGTGAAGGGAGGGAGGGCCAGTGGGAGGGAAGTGAAGGACGGAGGAGGAGGAGGGAGGGAGGGAGGGAGGGGAAGGAAGGAGAGGTAGGAAGGACGTCGAAGAGGAAGGTCCTCCTGTCCTTCCTTCCTTCCTTAGAGCTCGCTTCCTTCCGACGTCATTCCTTCTGCCTCCTTCCTTCCTTCGGAAGGAAGGGGCCAAAATAGTGACTCAGTGACACAGTGTACTCTGTTACAACAAACAAATACAGTGAGGGAAAAAAAGTATTTGATCCCCTGCTGATTTTGTACGTTTGCCCACTGACAAAGAAATGATCAGTCTATAATTTTAATGGTAGGTTTATTTGAACAGTGAGAGACAGAATAACAACAAAAAAATCCAGAAAAACGCATGTCAAAAATGTTATAAATTGATTTGCATTTTAATGAGGGAAATAAGTATTTGACCCCCTCTCAATCAGAAAGATTTCTGGCTCCCAGGTGTCTTTTATACAGGTAACGAGCTGAGATTAGGAGTGCTCCTAATCTCAGCTTGTTACCTGTATAAAAGACACCTTTCCACAGAAGCAATCAATCAATCAGATTCCAAACTCTCCACCATGGCCAAGACCAAAGAGCTCTCCAAGGATGTCAGGGACAAGTTTGTAGACCTACACAAGGCTGGAATGGGCTACAAGACCATCGCCAAGCAGCTTGGTGAGAAGGTGACAACAGTTGGTGCGATTATTCGCAAATGGAAGAAACACAAAAGAACTGTCAATCTCCCTCGGCCTGGGGCTCCATGCAAGATCTCAACTTGTGGAGTTGCAATGATCATGAGAACGGTGAGGAATCAGCCCAGAACTACACGGGAGGATCTTGTCAATGATCTCAAGGCAGCTGGGACCATAGTCACCAAGAAAACAATTGGTAACACACTACGCCGTGAAGGACTGAAATCCTGCAGCGCCCGCAAGGTCCCCCTGCTCAAGAAAGCACATATACAGGCCCGTCTGAAGTTTGCCAATGAACATCTGAATGATTCAGAGGAGAACTGGGTAAAAGTGTTGTGGTCAGATGAGACCAAAATTGAGCTCTTTGGCATCAACTCAACTCGCCGTGTTTGGAGGAGGAGGAATGCTGCCTATGACCCCAAGAACACCATCCCCACCGTCAAACATGGAGGTGGAAACATCATGCTTTGCGGGTGTTTTTCTGCTAAGGGGACAGGACAACTTCACCGCATCAAAGGGACGATAAACGGGGCCATGTACCGTCAAATCTTGGGTGAGAACCTCCTTCCCTCAGCCAGGGCATTGAAAATGGGTTGTGGATGGGTATTCCAGCATGACAATGACCCAAAACACACGGCCAAGGCAACAAAGGAGTGGCTCAAGAAGAAGCACATTAAGGTCCTGGAGTGGCCTAGCCAGTCTCCAGACCTTAATCCCAAAGAAAATCTGTGGAGGGAGCTGAAGGTTCGAGTTGCCAAACGTCAGGCTCGAAACCTTAATGACTTGGAGAAGATCTGCAAAGAGGAGTGGGACAAAATCCCTCCTGAGATGTGTGCAAACCTGGTGGCCAACTACAAGAAACGTCTGACCTCTGTGATTGCCAACAAGGGTTTTACCACCAAGTACTAAGTCATGTTTTGCAGAGGGGGTCAAATACTTATTTCCCTCATTAAAATGCAAATCAATTGATAAATTTTTTGCGTTTTTCTGGATTTTTTTGTTGTTATTTTGTCTCTCACTGTTCAAATAAACCTACCATTAAAATTATAGACTGATCATGTCTTTGTCAGTGGGCAAACGTACAAAATCAGCAGGGGATCAAATACTTTTTTCCCTCTCTGTACACACATAACAAAGAAGCCATCCCCAGTCCGGACACTTAGTTGGTTTTCTGGCTCTTTTGTGTGGTAGAGGTGGAGATCTATGACGGCGGTTGAAGTGCAATTTAGGCCCCATTGTGGGTCTGGCGTGAGATGTGACTGGGGCTGTGACAACAATCGGTGGGAAACCTGATCTACAAATAATCTGAAACTACCCAGAGATATCTCCACTGGGCGAGATACCCCCCTCGCCTCATATATTACAAAATGATAGATCTCACTATCACGGGGGAAATCAATAGCTGTGAGCTGTGTTCTCATACGGGGGTCTCCTGGGTTTAACTTCCATAATCAATTCTGTCAATCTCTTACAACTATAATTCCTTTCCGTTCTGTGGAGGAAGGGGTGGAAAGTAGAGAGCAGAAAATAGAATGTTTACAGTCTACCTGGGAATTCAGATGAAAAGGAAACACGTTAGTAGTTCTGTGATCACCGCGACTGACAACTACAAACCCCAGAAGTACTGGAATTCCAGTTTTCCATACATGTTGTGTCTTTTAGGGAAAAAACGTGAGAACGACACTTCGGGAATCAATCATCGGAGGGTTAAGCTCGTAAACATATCTAGGTGGCATGGAAAATGTCTCGACCAAAATGCTAATGTATATCCACCCCTGGATAGAAACCATGCATCACCCTTCTCAGCCTGCTCAATAAACACATGTAAAGACGCATCAATCAGTACTAGTTAAACATGCCACAGGCAAGGGATGCGTCCCAAATGACACCCTATTCCCTATGTAGTGCACTACTTTTGAGCAGAGACCTGAGACTATATAGGTAATAGGGTGTCATTTGTGACACACACCAAGGTCTCTCTGAAACGCTGCAGGCAAAGCATTCGGCCTGTTTAAGCATATTTGGGCACGAAGAGGCATACGATCAAAGGCAATGAACCTGGCCTGGAGGAACGAGTGTGGTCTATAACTTCTGTCTAGTGGTGATGTGGAGACAGGCAGGCAGTAGTTTATAGATCTGGCAGTCCATTTCTGAATGAACTGAATCTGAAATACCAGGTGAGGTAGAGAGGAATTATCTACCTGAAGTGGAGTAAGTCTCTCTGTCTCTCTGTCTCTGTCTCTTTCTCTCCCAGCTAGCACATTTGGTTCCTTGGAAGTGGTGGGAACATATTCCCACGGGGGGCCAGTATGAAAAATAAACAAATTATGTAAGTCGCTCTGGATAAGAGCGTCTGCTAAATGACAAAAAAAAAAATATATATATATGTTTTTCATTTCACATTGGTTGTGGGAACGAACCCATACATTTCCTGACCGGTAAAACTGAAGGTTTTTTAACATTCTGAGAAGAGAAGCGAACATTCTGACTGTTCTGGGAACGTTTATTTTTAGGTTGCAGGGAGGTTCTGAGAACGTTTTACTCTGGTTCATTGAACGCTCTGAGAACGGAAATGATAGGTTATTTGGAGCTTTTAAATAACTTCCTTAAAGATTCAAATCTATAATCTGTTCTCTATCCATGGAATTAGTCCACTGCGCCACCAGGATGGAGCTAGCATGCCATGTTTTTTTTAACTCATACAAAGCTGTTCATTTTAATCTATTCAAACAGACCTCATTTCAAAAGGAACAAGCACTCATTAAGGTCAGGTGTGGCCAATTATTGGGCGCGGCCAACACACTTAACAAGATAGAGAATAGACAGAGTTTTGCTGATGCTGAGATCGGAATGTATATGTTTTTAAACAACATTCTTAGAACGTTCTCTGAACGTTACTACAGTTTTCTTGTGGTTTTTATGGAAAGTTGTATTAATGTTCTCAGAACAACTTGAAAATATGACTTTAGAACCATGAGGAAACCTGCAGGAAACATTATGCTGAAGTACTGACATTCCCACAGAACAACATTGTTTCTTAACATTCTCTGAACTACTTGTGAACATTCCCAATGTCAAACCAATTGGAGAACATTCTTAGAACATTACCAAAATTGAAATGAAATGTAACCATGTTTGAACTTTCAGGAAACATTCTGTAATGAAATACCAAGAATTTTTTTTTTGGGTCAAAATCCTTAAATGTGCTGAGAATGTTCCAAAGCCAAGCAACTATACTGCACCTTTCCCAGAAAGTTATATGCAAAATATCCTTAGGACAACCACACTCATCAAGCTCTAAGAAACATATGGTTCTCAGAACATTACCTGCTAATCTCTCTCTCTCTCGCTCGCTCCCTCTCCCTCTCCCTCTCCCTCTCCCTCTCCCTCCCTCTCCCTCTCCCTCTCCCTCTCCCTGGGCCTAGATTTAAATCAGATTGACTCCCTGGCGTTGTCTTCTCAACTGAGAAGGAGCTGAAGAAGAGGGAAGAGCTGAGGAGGGTATGGTAATATACACAAGGTAACAGAGAGGCACAGAGGGATTGATTTCCTTATCTTGCTGGAGCAGGGGCAAAGGGCTCTTCTGACCTCTCCTCTCTCTGTCTCAACCCACCAGTCACTGTTCGTGTGCGTGTGTCTGTGTGCGTCTGTATATGCCTTTGTGTGTATGTGTGAGACCCCTTCTCTCTCTGTCTCAATCTTTAACCAGAAGGCTACCTTAAAGAGTCTCTCCTCTTGGATCCTTGTCTCACACTGCCTGGACAATTCCAGTTATAAAACAACCCGCCCTTCTTAGATGAGAGGAGCAACGTCTTGAAATGTCATGACAAGAGGATGCGAGATTAAAGATTCTGGAAGAGTTCCAAATGGCACGCTATTCCCTATATAGTACACTACTTTTGACCACAGCCCTATGGGTCCTGGTCAACACAGCCTGTCTTTAGCCTCAGCCCACTAATTTAACCCATCCCCCATCTATGACGTTGTATCACATATCAATTTAGGTCACAGATATGAAAACGAAAGACCATAATCGAACATAGAAATACATCTGCTTACATTTAGCTAAGTGATATCTACTCTATCTATACTAAAATCGTCAAAAAAATCTTATGGTGTTATCAGTAGGAATTTTCAAACGTCCCTGTTCATTAGCACAACGGGTAAGTCCAGGGCCCTCATTTATACATTTGCTGATCTAGGATGAGTTTTGCCTTTGAGGTCATAATGAATGAGATGACATGGACAGGGGGGATCTGATCCTAGATCAGCACTCCTACTATGAGATGCTTTATGAATACGGGCCCAGAAATGAGGTAGGTTCCTGATCCCACTTACTGGTGCAGTTGGGGGCAGTGAGGTTGGTTTATGAAGACTTACTGGTGCAGTTGGGGGCAGTGAGGTTGGTTTATGAAGACTTACTGGTGCAGTTGGGGGCAGTGAGGTTAGTTTATGAAGACTTACTGGTGCAGTTGGGTGCAGCGAGGTTGGTTTATGAAGGCTTACTGGTGCAGTTGGGGGCAGTGAGGTTGGTTTATGAAGACTTACTGGTGCAGTTGGGGGCAGTGAGGTTGGTTTATGAAGGCTTACTGGTGCAGTTGGGGGCAGTGAGGTTGGTTTATGAAGACTTACTGGTGCAGTTGGGGGCAGTGAGGTTGGTTTATGAAGACTTACTGGTGCAGTTGGGAGCAGTGAGGTTGGTTTATGAAGACTTACTGGTGCAGTTGGGGGCAGTGAGGTTGGTTGATGAAGACTTACTGGTGCAGTTGGGGGCAGTGAGGTTGGTTTATGAAGACTTACTGGTGCAGTTGGGGGCAGTGAGGTTGGTTTATGAAGACTTACTGGTGCAGTTGGGGGCAGTGAGGTTGGTTTATGAAGACTTACTGGTGCAGTTGGGGGCAGTGAGGTTGGTTTATGAAGACTTACTGGTGCAGTTGGGGGCAGTGAGGTTGGTTTATGAAGACTTACTGGTGCAGTTGGGGCAATGAGGTTGGTTGATGAAGACTTACTGGTGCAGTTGGGTGCAGTGAGGTTGGTTTATGAAGACTTACTGGTGCAGTTGGGGGCAGTGAGGTTGGTTTATGAAGGCTTACTGGTGCAGTTGGGGGCAGTGAGGTTGGTTTATGAAGACTTACTGGTGCAGTTGGGGGCAGTGAGGTTGGTTTATGAAGACTTACTGGTGCAGTTGGGGGCAGTGAGGTTGGTTGATGAAGACTTACTGGTGCAGTTGGGGGCAGTGAGGTTGGTTTATGAAGACTTACTGGTGCAGTTGGGGGCAGTGAGGTTGGTTTATGAAGACTTACTGGTGCAGTTGGGGGCAGTGAGGTTGGTTTATGAAGACTTACTGGTGCAGTTGGGGCAATGAGGTTGGTTGATGAAGACTTACTGGTGCAGTTGGGTGCAGTGAGGTTGGTTTATGAAGACTTACTGGTGCAGTTGGGGGCAGTGAGGTTGGTTTATGAAGGCTTACTGGTGCAGTTGGGGGCAGTGAGGTTGGTTTATGAAGACTTACTGGTGCAGTTGGGGGCAGTGAGGTTGGTTTATGAAGACTTACTGGTGCAGTTGGGAGCAGTGAGGTTGGTTTATGAAGACTTACTGGTGCAGTTGGGGGCAGTGAGGTTGGTTGATGAAGACTTACTGGTGCAGTTGGGGGCAGTGAGGTTGGTTTATGAAGACTTACTGGTGCAGTTGGGGGCAGTGAGGTTGGTTTATGAAGACTTACTGGTGCAGTTGGGGGCAGTGAGGTTGGTTTATGAAGACTTACTGGTGCAGTTGGGGCAATGAGGTTGGTTGATGAAGACTTACTGGTGCAGTTGGGTGCAGTGAGGTTGGTTTATGAAGACTTACTGGTGCAGTTGGGAGCAGTGAGGTTGGTTTTTGAAGACTTACTGGTGCAGCTAGGTGCAGCGAGGTTGGTTTATGAAGACTTACTGGTGCAGTTGGGTGCAGCGAGGTTGGTTTATGAAGACTTACTGGTGCAGTTGGGTGCAGCGAGGTTAGTTTATGAAGACTTACTGGTGTAGTTCGGTGAAGTGAGGTTGGTTTATGAAGACTTACTGGTGCAGTTCGGTGAAGTGAGGTTGGTTTATGAAGACTTACTGGTGCAGTTGGGGGCAGTGAGGTTGGTTTATGAAGACTTTCTGGTGTAGTTCGGTGAAGTGAGGTTAGTTTATGAAGACTTACTGGTGCAGTTCGGTGAAGTGAGGTTGGTTTATGAAGACTTACTGGTGCAGTTGGGGGCAGTGAGGTTGGTTTATGAAGACTTTCTGGTGCAGTTGGGTGCAGTGAGGTTGGTTTATGAAGACTTACTGGGGCAGTTGGGGGCAGTGAGGTTGGTTTATGAAGACTTACTGGTGCAGTTGGGGGCAGTGCCAGACCAGGTGGCATTGGCTAGACACTGACGTGTGGTGGAGCCTGTCAGCAGGTAGCCGTCCATACAGGAGTAGGTGACGGAGTGAGAGTAGGTGGTGCCGTCAAGCCGGGACACACGGCCGTTACTGGGGGACCCCGGGTTCCCACACTGCACCGCTGGAGAGAGAGAGAAGGGGCAGATAGAGTTTGATTGAATGATTGGTATTATGTGATAATTCAAAAATACTTGTGAAGTTGTTTCATCACGTACTAGTACACTGAGTATACAAAACATTAAGAACACTTTCCATGACACACACTGACTAGGTGAAAGCTATGATCCCTTATTGATGTCACTTGTTCAATCCACTTCAATCAGTGTAAATGAAGGGGAGGAGACAGGTTGAGGAAGGATTTTTTATCCTTGAGACAACTGAGACATGGATTGTGTATGTGTACCATTCAGAGGGTGAATGGGCCAGACAAAATATTGAAGTGCCTTTGAATGGGGTACGGTAGTAGGTGTCAGGCGCACCGGTTTACCACTCAATATTAGGAAGGTGTTCCTAATGTTTGGTATACTTAGTGTATATTACAATAACAGAGCATTCTAAAGTATTCAGACCCCTTCCTTTTTACACATTTTGTTACATTACAGCATTATTCTAAAATTGATTAAAACAATTTTTTCTTAGTCAATCTACACACAATACCCCATAATGACAAAGTGAAAACAGGTTTTATAAATTTTTCCAAATTTATGAAAATAAAAAACAGAAATACCCTTTGCTATGAGACTCGAAATTGAGCTCAGGTGCATCCTGTTTCCATTGATCATCCTTGAGATGTTTCTACAACTTGATTGGAGTCCACCTGTGGTAAATTCAATTGATTGGACAAGATTTGGAAAGGCACACACCTGTCTATATAAGGTCCCACAGTTGACAGTGCATGTCAGAGCAAAAACCAAGCCACGAGGTCAAAGGAATTGTCCCTAGAGCTGCGAGACAGGATTGTGTTAAGGCACAGATCTGGGGAAGGGTACAAAAACATTCTGCAGCATTGAAGGTCCCCAAGAACACAGTGGCCTCCATCATTCGTAAATGGAAGAAGTTTGGAACCACCAAAACTCTTCCTAGAGCTGGCCACTCGGCCAAACTGAGCATTCGGGGGAGAAGGACCTTGGTCAGGGAGGTCACCAAGAACCCGATGGTCACTCTGACAGAGCTCCAGAGTTCCTTTGTGGAGATTGAAGAACCTTCCAGAAGGACAACCATCTCTGCAGCACTCCATTAAATCAGGCCTTTATGGTAGTGGCCAGAAGGAAGCCACTCCTCAGTAAAAGGCACATGACAGCCCGCTTGGACTTTGCCAAAAGGCACCTAAAGGACTCTCAGACCATGATAAAAAACATTCTCTGGTCTGATGAAACCAAGATTGAACTCTTTGGCTTGAATGCCAAGCGTCATGTCTGGAGGAAACCTAGCACCATCCCTACGGTGAAGCATGGTGGTGGCAGCATCATGTTGTGGGGATGTTTTTCAGCGGCAGGAATTGGGAGACTAGTCAGTATTGAGGGAAAGATGAATGGAGCAAAGTACAGAGAGATCCTTGATGAAACCTGCTCCAGACTGGGGGCGAAGGTTCACCTTCCAACAGGACTACGACCCTAAGCACATAGCCAAGACAACGCAGGAGTGGCTTCGGGACAAGTCTCTGAATATCTTTGAGTGGCCAGAGCCCGGACTTAAACCCGATCAAACATCTCTGGAGAGACCTGAAAATAGCTGTGCAGCGACGCTTCCCATCCAACCTGACAGAACTTGAGAGGATCTGCAGAGAAGAATGGGAGAAACTCCCCAAATACAGCTGTGCCAAGCTTGTAGCGTCATACCCAAGAAGACTAAAGATGCTTCAACAAAGTACTGAGTAAAGGGTCTGAATACTTATGTAAATGTGATATTTCCGTTTTATTAAAAAAAAAAAAACATTTGCAAACATTTCTAAAAACCTGTTTTTGCTTTGTCATTATTGGGTATTGTGTGTAGATTGATGAGGGAAAGAAAGAATTGTATACATTTTAGAATAAGGCTGTAACGTAACAAAATGTGGAAAAAGTCAAGGGGTCTGAATACTTTCCGAATGCACTGTATATATATTGCTTAGATTGGAGCATCTATAGGATCCTCTTTAATAAAGACTGTGTCTATCTTACTGTAAGCGTTTTGGGTGATTTAAATGCACTTTAAATCAAGAATGAATTGATATGAACGGATACTGTATGTCAATGCTAAGTACAGTATTTGTACTTTCCATGAAATCATCACTGCCCCTTTCACAACTCCCGTACTCCATCCCCATAGCATCCACTCAGATCCAGCTTAATAACAGTCAGATATAAGTACTTAAAAGCTGTTTACAAGAGTGTTGAGAGAGACGGCTAGCATCTAGGTAAGAGTAGAACGATAGTGCAGCCATTGTTGTAGGGATCTCGGACATGGATTTATACAATGTCCAGGATTGGCTGTCAAGAGCTATGGAAGAGTAGCTGCCAAGGCAGCAGCTACTCTTCCTGGGGTTTATTATGGATCCCCATTAGTTCCTGCCAAGGCAGCAGCTACTCTTCCTGGGGTTTATTATGGATCCCCATTAGTTCCTGCCAAGGCAGCAGCTACTCTTCCTGGGGTTTATTATGGATCCCCATTAGTTCCTGCCAAGGCAGCAGCTACTCTTCCTGGGGTTTATTAAGGATCCCCGTTAGTTCCTGCCAAGGCAGCAGCTACTCTTCCTGGGGTTTATTATGGATCCCCATTAGTTCCTGCCAAGGCAGCAGCTACTCTTCCTGGGATTTATTAAGGATCCCCATGAGTTCCTGCCAAGGCAGCAGCTACTCTTCCTGGGGTTTATTATGGATCCCCATGAGTTCCTGCCAAGGCAGCAGCTACTCTTCCTGGGGTTTATTATGGATCCCCATTAGTTCCTGCCAAGGCAGCAGCTACTCTTCCTGGGGTCCGGCAGAATTAAGGCAGGGATACAATTTTAAAAGCATTACAATATATTTATTACAGAATTCACAACACACTAAGTGAGGGTGGGTTGGGCTGAGTAATGTGAAATGATTTTACAGAGAGATACAACAGGCTCAGGTATAACAGATGGATTTCAAATGGAACAAGGCTTAGATCAATGCTGAGAAGGCTGAGAGAGTGAAAGCGATAGAGAAAGAGAACAAAAGAGAGATTGAGAAAAAGAGAAGGAGGGAGAGAGATAGGGAGAAAGAGAAAGCGAGATTGAGATAGAGAAGGGCCTGAAAGAGAGAAAGCGTGATGGAGAGAGAGAGAGAGAGGTACCCTGTCAGCCTTGTGTAGAAGCTGCCTGGCAACCCCCTCAGGGTCTGAGAAGTTAACAATCTGTAAATCTATTTAACTACAGAGCTGCAGTAGCTCAGAGGGAACAAGGAGAACACGAAGCCACTGTTTCGAGACGACTCTAATGTTATCCTGTCTCGTTGGAGATGAGATGAATAGGGTGGTTCAAAGGAGTGACACCTGGGGGGTTGTGGGGTTGTGTCTGGGTGCCTGACTGACACCTGGGGGGTTATGGGGTTGTGTCTGGGTGCCTGACTGACACCTGGGGGGTTGTGGGGTTGTGTCTGGATGCCTGACTGACACCTGGGGGGTTGTGGGGTTGTGTCTGGGTGCCTGACTGACACCTGGGGGGTTGTGGGGTTGTGTCTGGGTGCCTGACTGACACCTGGGCCATTTGGGGTTGTGTCTGGGTGACTGACTGACACCGTTCTCAGTCGTTCAGTGTGAAGAGACACTTTTGAGTACACCTCCTGAATTACAGCTCAGTCCAAGCTCCCTGTTTTCAATTCCTTTCAGAAATGATCCCTGCACAATGTGGGGAATGTTTGTAAGGCAGTGTCTCTACACGGTGGTAGATCAGAGGGAGCAGAGGAGGAGATGAAAGGAAAAACAACACCATTAGTACCAGCTTGGTGCCGGGAAGCAGGATGTCGTAGAGCGGAGGTGTGGAGGGACGCGTCCCTACACTATATAGGGAATAGAGTGCCATTTGGGGCACAGCTGAGGATTGGGTAGCAGAGCAGTGTGGAGACTTGACTAGCTACATGCTTCCCTCAGCAAACAAGGATGGAGCCAATGTTCCTGTGTGCCCGTGGTGTGATGGCCAATGTTCCTGTGTGCCCCTGGTGTGATGGCCAATGTTCCTGTGTGCCCGTGGTGTGATGGCCAATGTTCCTGTGTGCCCCTGGTGTGATGGCCAATGTTCCTGTGTGCCCCTGGTGTGATGGCCAATGTTCCTGTGTGCCCCTGGTGTGATGGCCAGACCAGTCTCATCTAATTCTGGGTGTAATATGCTGCTAGCTATAGGGACCCCTGCATAGGTACGGTGTGTCGATGAGATACGCTGGCTAGAAATGAAATGGTACAGCCGCATGTTGGACTCAGACCATATTTGTTGGGAGAATGAGTGTACAAAACATTAACATGGTCTTTCCATGACATAGACTGACCAGGTGAAAGCTATGATCCCTTATTGATGTCACTTGTTAAATCCACTTCAATCAGTGTAGATTTTTATTTGACGTTTATTTAACTAGGCAAGTCAGTTAAGAACAAATTCTTATTTACAATGACGGCCTACCCCGGCCAAACCCGGACGACGCTGGGCCAATTATGCGCCGCCCTATGGGACTCCCAATCACGGCCGGATTGTGATACAGCCTGGAATCGAACCAGGGTCTGTAGTGACGCCTCTAGCACTGAGATGCTGTGCCTTAGACCGCTACGCCACTCGGGAAGGGGAGGAGACCCACTACCTTGGCGTTACAAGTGCCGTGCTCTACCAGCTGAGCTACAGAGGACCACCCTCAATGGCACACATACACAATCCATGTCTCAATTGTCTCAAGGCTTAAAAATCCTGCTTTAAGCTCTGTAGCTGAGCTACAGAGGACCACCCTCAATGGCACACATACACAATCCATGTCTCAATTGTCTCAAGGCTTAAAAATCCTGCTTTAAGCAAGCAGGATTTTTAAGCCTTGAGACAATTGAGACATGGATTGTGTATGTGTGCCATTGAGGGTGGTCCTCTGTAGCTCAGCTGGTAGAGCACGGCACTTGTAACGCCAAGGTAGTGGGTTTGATCCCCGGGACCACCCATACACAAAAATGTATGCACGCATGACTGTAAGTCGCTTTGGATAAAAGCGTCTGCTAAATGGCGTATTATATTATTATTATTATAGGGTGAATGGGCAAGACAAAATATTTAAGTGCCTTTGAACGGGGTATGGTAGTAGGTGCCAGGCGCACCGGTTTGTGTCAAGAACTGCAACACTGCTGGGTTTTCACGCTCAACAGTTTCTTGTGTGTATCAAGAATGGTCCACCACCCAAAAGACATCCAGACAATTTGACACAACTGTGGGAAGCATTGGAGTCAACATGGCCGGCATCCCTGTGGAACGCGTTCAACACCTTGTAGAGTCCATGGCCCGACGAATTGGGTCTGTTCTGAAGGGGGTGCAACTCAATATTAGGAAGGTGTTCCTAATGTTTGGTATACTCAGTGTAGGTCTCTCTGTGTGTGTATCTGTGTGTGTTAGTGCGTGTGTGGTCTCATGTTTGCGTGTGTGTGCGTGAGCGTGTGGTCTCACGTTTGCGTGTGTGTGCGTGCGTGTGGTCTCATGTTTGCGTGTGTGTGCGTGCGTGTGGTCTCACATTTGCGTGTGTGTGCGTGCGTGTGGTCTCATGTTTGCGTGTGTGTGCATGCGTGTGGTCTCATGTTTGCGTGTGTGTGCGTGCGTGTGGTCTCACGTTTGTGTGTGTGTGCGTGCGTGTGGTCTCAAGTTTGCGTGTGTGTGCATGCGTGTGGTCTCATGTTTGCGTGTGTGTGCGTGCGTGTAGTCTCACATTTGCGTGTGTGTGCGTGCGTGTGGTCTCACATTTGCGTGTGTGTGCGTGCGTGTGGTCTCACATTTGCGTGTGTGTGCGTGCGTGTGGTCTCATGTTTGCGTGTGTGTGCGTGCGTGTGGTCTCATGTTTGCGTGTGTGTGCGAGTGTGTGGTCTCATGTTTGCGTGTGTGTGCGTGCGTGTGGTCTCATGTTTGTGTGTGTGTGTGTGTGTGTGTGTGTGTGTGTGTGTGTGTGTGTGTGTGTGTGTGTGCGTGTGTGGTCTCACGTTTGCGTGTGTGTGTGTGTGTGTGTGTGTGTGTGTGTGTGTGTGTGTGTGTGTGTGTGTGTGTGTGCGTGTGTGGTCTCACGTTTGCGTGTGTGTGTGTGTGTGTGTGTGTGTGTGTGTGTGTGTGTGTGTGTGTGTGTGTGTGTGTGTGTGTGTGTGTGTGTGTGTGTGTGTGTGTGCGTGCGTGTGCGTGTGTGGTCTCACGTTTGCAGAAGGGCTGAGTTCCAGACCAGGTGGCGTTGGGAAAGCACATCCTCTCAGCAGAGCCAATCAGCTCGTAACCCTCAGAGCAGCTGAACTGGACTTTACTGCGGATCCTGAAGTTACTCTCCTCCCTGCTGCCCTGCGACGGGGTGCCTGGGTCCCCACATGTCCCCTGGGAGTCACCTGCACACACACAGAGACACACGCCAGCCCCCATGCACACAGATACCCACACGCCAGCCCCCATGCACACAGATACCCACACGCCAGCCCCCATGCACACAGAGACCCACATGCCAGCCCCCATGCAGGCACACAGGGAAAAGCAGAAGCATAGAAAGAGTTAAAAACACTGCTGTTGGCTCAGTCACAATGTTCCCAAGGCCATTGAAACACATCACAACCCTTTTTATCATTCAAACCAGCGAAGACACGTGACTCCACTCTGTCCCTTCTGCCCTTCCCTCATTCCCTCATTCTCTGTATGTGTAACCTTACAGAAAACCACCATGATTGCACACTGATTCTCCTCTCTCACTGATTCCCTCTCTCACCGATTCCCCTCTCTCACTGATTCCCCTCTCTCACCGATTCCCCTCTCTCACCGATTCCCCACCCTCCATCCCTCCCTCCCTCCCTCCCTCCCTCCCTCCCTCCTCCGTCAACGTAGCTCCTGGCTTGGTAGCCTTGGTCTGGGTCACAAACAGCACCCTATTCCCTATGTAGTGCACTCCATTTGACCAGGGCCCACAGTTGTGGTGCACTATATAGGGAATAGGGTGCCATTTGGGATGCACACTTGGTAGCCTTGCTATTCACCTGAGCCAGCCACACATCCTTCCCAGACAGACACACAGACAGACAGATGCTGAAGAGGAAATTCAAGTAAAGGAGGCCGTACAGCCAGGATCTAGGAGATAGGGGACTATGTATGTGTGTTGGAGGCCGTACAGCCAGGATCTAGGAGATAGGGGACTATGTATGTGTGTGTTTTGGAGGCCGTACAGTCAGGATCTAGGAGATAGGGGACTGAGTATGTGTGTTGGAGGCCGTACAGCCAGGATCTAGGAGATAGGGGACTGTGTGTGTTGGAGGCCGTACAGCCAGGATCTAGGAGATAGGGGACTGAGTATGTGTGTTGGAGGCCGTACAGCCAGGATCTAGGAGATAGGGCACTGAGTGTGTGTTGGAGGCCGTACAGCCAGGATCTAGGAAATAGGGGACTGAGTATGTGTGTTGGAGGCCGTACAGCCAGGATCTAGGAGATAGGGGACTGAGTATGTGTGTTGGAGGCCGTACAGCCAGGATCTAGGAGATAGGGCACTGAGTATGTGTGTTGGAGGCCGTACAGCCAGGATCTAGGAGATAGGGGACTGAGTATGTGTGTTGGAGGCCGTACAGCCAGGATCTAGGAGATAGGGGACTGAGTATGTGTGTTGGAGGCCGTACAGCCAGGATCTAGGAGATAGGGCACTGTGTATGTGTGTTGGAGGCCGTACAGCCAGGATCTAGGAGATAGGGCACTGAGTGTGTGTTGGAGGCCGTACAGCCAGGATCTAGGAGATAGGGGACTGAATATGTGTGTTGGAGGCCGTACAGCCAGGATCTAGGAGATAGGGGACTGAGTATGTGTGTTGGAGGCCGTACAGCCAGGATCTAGGAGATAGGGGACTGAGTATGTGTGTTGGAGGCCGTACAGCCAGGATCTAGGAGATAGGGCACTGAGTGTGTGTTGGATGCCGTACAGCCAGGATCTAGGAGATAGGGGACTGAGTATGTGTGTTGGAGGCCGTACAGCCAGGATCTAGGAGATAGGGGACTATGTATGTGTGTGTTTTGGAGGCCGTACAGTCAGGATCTAGGAGATAGAGGACTGAGTATGTGTGTTGGAGGCCGTACAGCCAGGATCTAGGAAATAGGGGACTGAGTATGTGTGCTGGAGGCCGTACAGCCAGGATCTAGGAGATAGGGGACTGAGTATGTGTGTTGGAGGCCGTACAGCCAGGATCTAGGAGATAGGGGACTGTGTATGTGTGTTGGAGGCCGTACAGCCAGGATCTAGGAGATAGGGGACTGTGTATGTGTGTTGGAGGCCGTACAGCCAGGATCTAGGAGATAGGGGACTGTGTATGTGTGTTGGAGGTCGTACAGCCAGGATCTAGGAGATAGGGGACTGTGTATGTGTGTTGGAGGCCGTACAGCCAGGATCTAGGAGATAGGGGACTGTGTATGTGTGTTAGAGGCCGTACAGCCAGGATCTAGGAGATAGGGCACTGAGTGTGTGTTGGAGGCCGTACAGCCAGGATCTAGGAGATAGGGGACTGAGTATGTGTGTTGGAGGCCGTACAGCCAGGATCTAGGAGATAGGGGACTGAGTATGTGTGTTGGAGGCCGTACAGCCAGGATCTAGGAGATAGGGGACTGTGTATGTGTGTTGGAGGCCGTACAGCCAGGATCTAGGAGATAGGGGACTGTGTATGTGTGTTGGAGGCCGTACAGCCAGGATCTAGGAGATAGGGGACTGTGTATGTGTGTTGGAGGCCGTACAGCCAGGATCTAGGAGATAGGGCACTGAGTGTGTGTTGGAGGCTGTACAGCCAGGATCTAGGAGATAGGGGACTGAGTATGTGTGTTGGAGGCCGTACAGCCAGGATCTAGGAAATAGGGGACTATGTATGTGTGTTGGAGGCCGTACAGCCAGGATCTAGGAGATAGGGGACTGAGTATGTGTGTTGGAGGCCGTACAGACAGGATCTAGGAGATAGGGGACTGAGTATGTGTGTTGGAGGCCGTACAGACAGGATCTAGGAGATAGGGGACTGTGTGTTTGTCTACGGCCATGACAGTAATCAGAGCTGTTATTGGGAGACAATACAGGGCGGTCCACTCCAAACAGTAACTCAGACGTAATGGAAGATCTGTCAGATGTCTCAAGTACATTGAGATACTTATGTCTCATCAGTAACAGATAAATCTTGCTCTGATGCTACACATTATAGGGATGGAAAATACTGGAAAGTCACTTGGACACAAAATGCAATTGGTATCCATATTCTGTATGATTCAATAACAATTGTTATCAAAAATGGAGTACAAGTGAGAAAAATATCCATAAATGTATCTATCATATCTATTTCTGTCATGTCCAGACAAATACCTAACAGTTCCTTCCTTGTTCGTTCCATAAATAAGTAATAATTTATTAAACAATGTTACATTAGTACACTTGAGTCCTCCCCTTGCCCAAATCTAATTTAGCAGCAGCTTGATTGTGATCCCAAGCTTGAATGCAGCCGACACACACACACACACATACACACACACACACAAACTGTACTGTAAGCAGTAGGCAGTCTACAGACAGGTAGGCAGTTGTGTCCCTGCCCATTCAGTATATAATGAATTATTTCTCTATGTCCCTGGCAGTGGTAGCCCAGGGGACAGATTAAAGTGGTTGCTATCTAATTAGCATAATAAAACAATCAAATAGCTAAATGATCCTTGGTATGACCTTCCTAAAACAATTCCATATAGCTTAGCAGAAGCTCCCCCCTGTATACCTCCCCCACTCAGCTCTCAGTAGGGAACTACAGTACTTTAAAGCTCTGAGCCGTGGAGGGTTATGTTATACCACTGGGATGTTAAAGGTCCACTTTGGGCAAGAAAAACGGTCCAACTCCACCCTTTTCTCCGTTTTCAAACAGAATGGGGTGTGCCTTTGGTGGTTCATTGATGTGTCATTTTGGTCATGCACACCGCGACCGATGTAGCTAGTTCGTTAGCTAAGCTAGCCAGTGTAGCTAGCCAGTAACTCCTCCAGATGTAGCTAGTTTGTTAGCTAAGCTAGCCGCTGTAGCTAGCCAGTAACTCCTCCAGATGTAGCTAGATTGTTAGCTAAGCTAGCCAGTGTAGCTAGCCAGTAACTCCTCCAGATATAGCTAGTTCGTTAGCTAAGCTAGCCAGTGTAGCTAGCCAGTAACTCCTCCAGATATAGCTAGTTCGTTAGCTAAGCTAACCAGTGTAGCTAGCCAGTAACTCCTCCAGATATAGCTAGTTCGTTAGCTAAGCTAACCAGTGTAGCTAGCCAGTAACTCCTCCAGATGTAGCTAGTTCGTTAGCTAAGCTAGCCAGTAACTACTCCAGTATATGTTGACATCATTTCACAGGATTTGTTTTTGGACAGAAGCTGTAGAGATCGGAATGAAATGGCACTTCTGTAGCCAAATACCTTATTCATGTTTTTAAGCATTAAATGACCTGGCACGATGGTGTATTGATCAGTTATACAGTTTAAAGCCGTTATTTTAGAATTTTTTCGACCAAAGTCGACCATTAATATTATATAGATCTACCTAGTGTTCTATATCCCCTTGCCATAGACATGTATGACCATGAAAGCTGAAGTCAAGTGGGTAAGCTGCATTTGAATGGGCATTGTTCTGTTTCACCTAGCTACATACCTAGCATATATATCCCAGCCCTAGTCACTATAGACATGTACAGTATGAACATGAAAGCTGGAGTCATATGGGTAAAGCTGCAGTTGAAAGGGCCTTGAGTGTCTTGGTTATAAATGTTCCTCTGGGGGTCCTACAGAGTAAGCCTCTTAAAACACACATGGCGCAGGCAGATAGTTGCATTAGGGGACGCGCACACACACACACACACACACACACACACACACACACACACACACACACACACACACACACACACACACACACACACACACAGGTATTATAGTTCTAGTAGGACATTAGGGGTCACAAATAGTGTACACTTCTACATTTCCTAAGGTACAACCTGCTAGAGATACATGCTACTGATACAGCCTTCTTTACTAAGCAGAATACAGCCCCCACATATGATACCAGATGACAGTGTGTGGTGGCTTCTAGGTAACGTGTGTGTGTGTCTGTTTGTGTGCCAACTGCCAAGTGTTTGTGTGTGTATGTGTGTGCCAAGTGTGTATGAGAATGTGTGGATGTGTGTTTGTGACTTTATTTATGAGTAAAACCTTTGTGTGTGTGTGTGTGTGTGTGTGTGCCCTTACAGAACCGTATGTGTGTGTGGATGCTCGGCGCATGCATGTGTCCCATGTTCCACCTCCTCTGTTATCCCCCTGGCAGCAAGCGTCCCCCAGTGTGGGGGGGTTCAGGTTCCCAGGAGTGTGCTCCGTCAGGGAGAATGTGCTGACCAAGCTAGACTGGTGCTGTATTAGCTGTCTCATCTGAAGAGGCAGCGCTGAGACACAACATACCACCAGAGAGAGGGAGAGAGAGGGAGAGGGAGATGGGAGAGAGGGAGAGAGAGAGAGAGAGAGAGGGGAGAGAGAGAGGAAGAGAGAGAGAGGGAGGAGAGGGTTGGCTGTCACACACAGTGATACACAGCCAAAGCTCTAGACAGCTAGCAGACAGCCACAAAGTCACCACCAACACAACCGCTCCCCACCCGTCCCCTCTACCTCACGTGTCTCACACAGAGTATGGACATGGACACATCGGGGAACGGAGAACAGAGGGAGGTCAAAAGTAATCTCCCTGGTGTTATGTCACAAAGGGCGTCTCAAAGGTGCCTGTGACTTTGTGTTCGTCACAGAACTGCCTGAGTGATCGCTAGTCTCAAACAGAGCGCTTGTACTGTAGTCTCTTCATAAGAAACTGTAGCTCTATGCTCGCCGGTACAGGGGAATGAAAAGCTCTCTAGAATGCTAACTGGTCTCTTCAAATAACTATGTTCTTCATGCTAAAAGAAAGCTTGGCCAGGCAATAAGACAGAGCCTGTACCCCATCCCCTTCCCGCAACATGATATCACTTTTTATTTAGCAGACGCTCTTATCAGGAGCGACTTACAGTTCTTGAGTGCATACATTATTATTAAATATATATTTTCTATACTGGCCCCCCGTGGGAATCAAACCCACAACCCTGGCGTTGCAAGCGCCGTGCTCTACCAACTGAGCTACACGGGGCCCATCACCAATGTTTCACGGGCACCAAACGGCTCATAACCCCTCCCCACCACAGGATCTGAGTCCTAGAGCACTGGGTCCAGCCAACGCTTCAGCACCCCCGAGTAATTGGAGACACAGGGAGTACAGGTATTAACCTGGAGTGTCAATAAACCACTACATATACTAGACCAGCAGGCTATCAAGGACCATGCTCACTGACTCAGTCACTATTGGACAGGATGCCTAGCTATTGGACAGGGGGTCTAGCTAATTGGACAGGGGGTCTAGCTATTAGACAGGGGGTCAAGCTATTGGACAGGGGGTCTAGCTAATTGGACAAGGGGTCTAGCTAATTGGACAGGGGGTCTAGCTATTGGACAGGGGGTCTAGCTATTGGACAGGGGGTCTAGCTAATTGGACAGGAGGTCTAGCTATTGGACAGGGGGTCTAGCTATTGGACAGGATGCCTAGCTATTGGACAGGGGGTCTAGCTATTAGACAGGGGGTCTAGCTAATTGGACAGGGGGTCTAGCTATTGGACAGGATGCCAAGCTATTGGACAGGATGCCTAGCTATTGGACAGGATACCTAGCTAATTGGACAGGGGGTCTAGCTATTGGACAGGATGCCAAGCTATTGGACAGGATGCCTAGCTATTGGACAGGATACCTAGCTAATTGGACAGGGGGTCTAGCTATTGGACAGGGGATCTAGCTAATTTGACAGTTGGTCTAGCTAATTAGACAGGGGGTCTAGCTATTGGACAGGGGGTCTAGCTAATTGGACAGGGGGTCTTGCTAATTGGGCAGGGAATCTAGCTAATTGGACAGGGGGTCTAGCTAATTGGACAGGGGTCTAGCTATTGGACAGGGGGTCTAGCTATTGGACAAGGGGTCGAGCTAAATTGACAGGGGGTCTAGCTAATTGGACAGGGGGTCTAGCTAATTGGACAGGGGGTCTAGCTAATTAGACAGGGGCTCTAGCTAATTAGACAGGGGGTCTAGCTAATTGGACAGAGGGTCTAGCTAATTGGACAGGGGGTCTAGCTAATTGGACAGGGGGTCTAGCTAATTGGACAGGGGGTCTAGCTAATTGGACAGGGGGGTCAGCTAATTAGACAGGGGGGTCTAGCTAATTGACAGGGGTCTAGCTAATTAACAGGGGGGTCTAGCTAATTGACAGGGGGTCTAACTAATTGGACAGGGGGGTCTAGCTATTAGACAGGGGTCGAGCTAATTGGACAGGGGGTCTAGCTAATGTGGACAGGGGGTCTAGCTATTAGACGGGGGTCTAGCTAATGACAGGGGGTCTAGCTAATTAGACAGGGAGTCTAGCTAATTGACAAGGGGGTCTAGACTAATTAGACAGGGGTCTAGCAATTGGACAGGGGGGTCTAGCTAATTAGACAGGGGGTCTAGCTAATTGGACAGGGGGTCTAGCTATTGGACAGGGGGTCTAGCAATTGGACAGGGGGTCTAGCTAATTGGACAGGGGGTCTTGATAATTGGACAGGGGGTTATAGCTATTGGACAGGGGGTCTTGCTAATTGGACAGGGGTAATAGCTAATCTGGACAGGGGGTCTAGGCTAATTGACAGGGGGGTTCTAGCCATTAGCAGGGGGGGGTCATAGCTAGCTAATTGGACAGGGGGTCTAGCTAATGGACAAGGGGTCTAGCTAATTGGACAGGGGGTCTAGCTATTGGACAGGGGGTCTAGCTAATTAGACAGGTTGTCTAGCTAATTGGACAGGGGGTCTAGCTAATTGGACAGGGGGTCTAGCTAATTGGACAGGGGGTCTAGCTAATTGGACAGGGGGTCTAGCTAATTGGACAGGGGTCTAGCTAATTAGACAGGGGGTCTAGCTAATTGACAGGGGGTCTAGCTAATTAGACAGGGGTCTAGCTATTGGACAGGGGATCTAGCTAATTGGACAGGGGGTCTAGCTAATTGGACAGGGGGTCTAGCTAATTGGACAGGGGGTCTAGCTAATTGACAGGGGGTCTAGCTATTAGACAGGGGGTCTAGCTAATTGGACAGGGGGTCTAGCTATTGGACAGGGGGTCTAGCTAATTGACAGGGGGTCTAGCTATTGGACAGGGGGTCTAGCTATTGGACAGGGGGTCTAGCTATTGGACAGGGGGTCTAGCTATTGGACAGGGGGTCTAGCTAATTGACAGGGGGTCTAGCTAATTGGATCACTGAGTGCTTGGGATTGCAGCGAAGGGCTCTACTCGCATTGTCCACCGGTTAGGAGGAGTGATACGGTTAGGAGGAGTGATACGGTTAGGAGGAGTGATACGGTTAGGAGGAGTGATACGGTTAGGAGGAGTGATACGGTTGAATAAAAAGACATGTTTTTATTGTTACATACACCTGATAGGTGCAGTGAAATGTGTTGTTTTACAGGGTCAGTCATAAAAGTATGACGGCCCTGGAGCAAATAAGGGTTTAGTGCCTTGCTCAAGGACACATCGACAGATTTTTCAAGTTGTCAGCTCGGGTATTTGAACCAGCAACCTTTCAGTTACTGGGCCAAGGCTCTAATCACTAGGCTACCTGCCGCCGACTTGCTGTCACCCTGCAATCTCCCTGCTGCCGGTTTATCCATTGCCCACTGGTTAGGAGAAGGGATATGGTCTTGTGATAACAAGATCTTACGGTTTGACCACATTTGACCACATTATGGTTTGTCCTTGTTTCTCCAAACAAGGTGTTTTGGACTGCCTGGGTTGCACTGCTGCTGTCGCCGGTGCCTCCGAATGGTTAAGTTAATGGTTTAGGTTTGGGATTGGGTTCAAACAAAACAATAAAAAATGAGTTCCTATCACTGGGATTGAACACACATCCCTCGGAGCCGGAGCTCGTGGCTTACACCCTAGCAAAACACCAGCTTACTTGATGGTAATAGCACTCATCGTTGCCCCTAGTGGATGGTTTTGAAGGCATCTACTGATGTCCTGAGTACCTGGACGGACTTCGAAGTGGATCTTCTGCGACCTGGCTGTTGTGATGGTGGGGGCTAGAGCACTGTGACTTACTCCCTACCCTGGGAGGTACCCTGGCCCATCTATGGAGGAGGGCAGTTACATCAGAAACTATGGAAGCGGAGGGTGCTGTGGTGAGATCTAACAGCATAAGGGTTAGGGTTAGGGCCTAGCATTTCCTGCCGATGAACACACACACAGTCACACGCATGCACACACACACACACCACTCACTCACACAAGTCCTCATTTGATCTACAGCTTTTCCCTAAAGAAGGCTTCTGTTGCTGGGGCTTAGAATCCTGCAGCTCACTAGAAGGCAAAACAAACTTGTAGGGCTCTGATTCAGAGCCAGGGGAATCCTAATGCTTCAGGGAAGTGAACAATATAATGTTTTAGAGAAAGAGAGAGACAGAGAGAGAGCGCGAGAGATTGAGACAGAGAGAGACAGAGAGAGAGAGAGAGAGAGAGAGAGAGAGGAAGAGACAGAGAGAGAGAGCGAGAGAGAAAGGGCGAGATTGAGAGAGAGAGAGAGAGAGAGAGAGAGAGAGAGAGAGAGAGAGATTGAGAGAGACAGAGAGACAGGGAGACAGGGAGACAGAGAGAGAGAGAGAGAGAGACAGGGAGACAGAGAGAGAGAGAGAGAGAGAGAGAGAGAGAGAGAGAGAGAGAGAGAGAGAGAGAGAGAGAGAGAGAGAAATACTCCCATCTGCAACTCATGCCTTTCCATTTCTCTCTCCCTGGCTGTCTCTTTCTGGGTCAGCGCTCTCAGAAGGGAACAGGCAGCATACACTGTACAGAGGGGTTTGGGGAGGAGCTCTTTTATGGGTCACAGACAGTTAATGAAGGTTTAATGGATGAGCAGAGACCTAGAGCAGGTGAGTATATATGTGTGTGTGAAGGTGCTCTTTGTGCATCACTAAGTCTGCAGGAGTGCTAGTGTGCCGGCAAAATGAGACAAGTGGAGGAAGCATAGAGAGACCAGCAGCTGAGAGATACTGAGAGAGAACGCACACTGACACCCCAAATGATTAGCAAGCGTCATCTGTGTGCAAAACAGCTTGCGCCCAAAACAGAGAAACCCCCAAACACAGACAGACACGTCATTTAGCCTAATTAGAAGACTGAACACATGAAAAACTCAAGTCATCAGCACACTGCAGATAATCCTGCTAATTGTAGCTAAATAGGCTAATGACACTATATTATGTTTATTAAAATGTAACATAACAACATCCTGTCATATAAATGTTGATACTTTATAAATTAATTAATTTAAATTGATTTGATAGTACTTTTCTCCAGAGAGACACTAACAAAAACTAAATGAAGATAAATTGTATACTTTATCGCCATAAAATTGTTTTCTAGCATGGATCCTAAAAGTATTAACCATGATTTAGAGAGCCGTTGAGAGAGCTAGCATGGATCCTAAAAGTATTAACCATGATTTAGAGAGCCGTTGAGAAAGCTAGCATGGATCCTTAAAGGTATTAACCATGATTCAGAGAGCCGTTGAGAGAGCTAGCATGGATCCTAAAAGTATTAACCATGATTTAGAGAGCCATTGAGAGCTAGCATGGATCCTAAAAGTATTAACCATGATTTAGATAGCCGTTGAGAGAGCTAGCATGGATCCTAAAACTATTAACCATGATTCAGAGAGCCGTTGAGCGAGCTAGCATGGATCCTAAAAGTGTTAACCATGATTCAGAGAGCTGTTGAGAGAACTAGCATGGATCCTAAAAGTATTAACCATGATTCAGAGAGCCGTTGAGAGAACTAGCATGGATCCTAAAAGTATTAACCATGATTTAGATAGCCGTTGAGAGAGCTAGCATGGATCCTAAAACTATTAACCATGATTCAGAGAGCCGTTGAGCGAGCTAGCATGGATCCTAAAAGTGTTAACCATGATTCAGAGAGCTGTTGAGAGAACTAGCATGGATCCTAAAAGTATTAACCATGATTCAGAGAGCCGTTGAGAGAACTAGCATGGATCCTAAAAGTATTAACCATGATTCAGAGAGCCGTTGAGAGAGGGAGAAGTACGCAAATAAATCGGCTCTAGTTTGTACTTGGTGCAAAATAGTTATTTCTTCCTCCTACTCTCCCCTCTTCACCACAACTCTCTCTCTCACCCACATCTCCTCTGGGAGTGTCACTTTCGCTCTCTCTCTCCCTCTCCCCTCTCTCTCAATTTCAATTTAAGGGCTTTATTGGCATGGGAAACGTATGTTAACATTGCCAAAGCAAGTGAAGTAGATAGTAAACAAAAGTGAAATAAACAATAAATATTAACAGTAAACATCACTGAAACATTTCAAATGTCTCTCTCTCCTCTCTCTCTCTCTCTCTCTCTCTCCTCCTAATGCGTTCACACAACTCCGGTAGAAGAGGTGAGACTGTCAGCTTGTGTTCTCATATCTCTCAGCAGCATAGTCAGCTTTAGGCCCACTTCCTACAGTGCCAGACTTTTCACAGTACTCAATAACAAAAATATGTTGATTCAACATCCAATTGTAAGGCAACCAGCTGCAATAGGATCCTTTTGGATGTTGAATCAGCATTAGGGTTAGGGTTCCCATATTGCTGAACTCTTCACACTATGATCAGTCCAGGTAGGACCAAGTAACAGGCTATGGCAGGGTGGGTTACAGGACAGGTAGGACCAAGTAACAGGCTATGGCAGGGTGGGTTACAGGACAGGTAGGACCAAGTAACAGGCTATGGCAGGGTGAGTTACAGGACAGGTAGGACCAAGTAACAGGCTATGGCAGGGTGGGTTACAGGACAGGTAGGACCAAGTAACAGGCTATGGCAGGGTGGGTTACAGGACAGGTAGGACCAAGTAACAGGCTATGGCAGGGTGGGTTACAGGACAGGTAGGACCAAGTAACAGGCTATGGCAGGGTGGGTTACAGGACAGGTAGGACCAAGTAACAGGCTATGGCAGGGTGAGTTACAGGACAGGTAGGACCAAGTAACAGGCTATGGCAGGGTGAGTTACAGGACAGGTAGCACCAAGTAACAGGCTATGGCAGGGTGGGTTACAGGACAGGTAGGACCAAGTAACAGGCTATGGCAGGGTGAGTTACAGGACAGGTAGGACCAAGTAACAGGCTATGGCAGGGTGAGTTACAGGACAGGTAGGACCAAGTAACAGGCTATGGCAGGGTGAGTTACAGGATAGGTAGGACCAAGTAACAGGCTATGGCAGGGTGGGTTACAGGACAGGTAGGACCAAGTAATAGGCTATGGCAGGGTGAGTTACAGGACAGGTAGGACCAAGTAACAGGCTATGGCAGGGTGGGTTACAGGACAGGTAGGACCAAGTAACAGGCTATGGCAGGGTGGGTTACAGGACAGGTAGGACCAAGTAACAGGCTATGGCAGGGTGGGTTACAGGACAGGTAGGACCAAGTAACAGGCTATGGCAGGGTGGGTTACAGGACAGGTAGGACCAAGTAACAGGCTATGGCAGGGTGGGTTACAGGACAGGTAGGACCAAGTAACAGGCTATGGCAGGGTGGGTTACAGGACAGGTAGGACCAAGTAACAGGCTATGGCAGGGTGGGTTACAGGACAGGTAGGACCAAGTAACAGGCTATGGCAGGGTGGGTTATTAAAAAACAGATAGGACCCACTAACAGGCTATGGCAGAGCAGGTTAAAAGACAGGTTAGACTCACTAACAGGGTGATGCAGGGGAGGTTTTACACGCTGCTAAACTCTTTAAACTACAGACAGTCTGTAACAGGGTGAGGGAGGGTGTGTACAAGCGCCAAAAGTCTTTAAGTAAAGAAAACTATGGAGGGAAGAGATGTACTACAGGGATAAGAAATCTTGTGCCAGTAATTTGCACTTCATGTGAAGTCCAATTCAAAACTCTTTTAGACTTCTTCACTCAAACACCATCTTATGTATTAAATGCATGTACCTGTGTCTCTCTCTATAGAAAGAGAGTATGTGAGAGAGAGAGAGAGAGAGAGAGAGAGAGAGAGAGAGAGAGAGAGAGAGAGAGAGAGAGAGAGAGAGAGAGAGAGAGAGAGAGAGAGAGAGCGAGAGAAAGAGAGAGAGAGAGAGAGAGAGAGAGAGGAGAGAAAGATGAGGGTGAGATGATTCCTCTTCAGTCTGCCGTAGTGAAAAGTAGATAGCAATAAAGAGGAACAGCAAACACTAAGCACCAACCCAGTAGTTCCCACAGATCCATTACCGGGACTTATTGTCCCAGCTGCATCCCAAATGACACCCTATTCCCTATATAGTGCACTACTTTTTACCAAAGTCCAATGAGGTTCTGGTTAAAAGTAATGCTCTATACGGTGAATAGGGTGCCATTTGGAATGCAGGGCCCAACTTCTGCAAGAGAGGAAATACAGAGACCCTAATTATCCAGAGAATGACATCCGTCTCCGGCTGAAAAAATTACCTCAGCAACAAATGTATTTTCCCACCATCCCGACGGGGTCATTGTAATTTTTATTTAAACGTAGCCAGATATCTGATTTCCATCCAATCCACATTGTGCCACATTCTAATTTATTTAGCTAATTTACATATTGAGTGCAAGAAAGGGAAGAAGAAGAGGAGGAAGAAGGAAGGAAGGAAGGAAGGAAGGAAAGGAAGGAAGATAGGAAGGAAGGAAGGAAGGAAGGAAGGAAGGAAGGCTCAGTAACTATGTCTGTGTGTGTAGGAGAGAGAGAGAGAGCGAGAGAGAGACTGTGATGGAGAAAGAGAGAGAGATCGAGAGACTGTTGTGAAGAAAGGGGAGTTGTGACTGATCTATTCTAGCTGTAACGTCAGTGCCCAGGTACAGCGCCCACGCTAGGGTGAAGAGGGTAAACACTCCTGCCCACATGTTAGTCAATGCCTCTCGTTTCTTCTGCTGGAACCAATGTGTTGCTCCACCACCGCTTTCAAATTCTCCTCCACTATTAGCAGCTAGTTCTCTGTTTTTCTGGTATATTTCAAAGTCCTCGATATGACCTTCTCTCTAGTTGTCTCTGTCTGTTTTAGCTCTTGCCAAAAGCTGATGAATATAGATTTGAACATTTGAGCTTAGTCACCGTGACAACCTTCCAATAGATCATAATGTAACGTTGCAGATGGCTTAGCCATTGTTGCCTTGGACAACATGAACCCCAACACACACACATATACCCCCCGCACCCATTCACCAACCCCCCAACCACACAGCTCCCCCCCACCCCTGCACAAACCCCCCAACCACACAGCTCCCCCCAACCCCCCACCCACTCACAAACCCCCCTAACCACCCAACCACACACACACATAGCCCCCCCACCCCACCCCCCCAACCCCCTCACCCACCTCACAAACCCCCCCTAACCACCCAACCCACACACACACATACCCCCCCCCCCCCCCCCCCCCCCCCCCCCCCCCACACACACCCCCCAACCCACTCACAAACCCCCCTAAATCACCTGAGCAGAAAGGCATGGGTACACTCCAGTGACCGTTAAGCTGGCAGGTGCGTGCCGACTCGCCCTTCAGCTGTCGCCCCCCTGTGCAGGTGTAGCGAACCGTGGAGCCGAAGGTGAACTTGTCCCCGCTCAGCTGGCCGTTGGGAGGGCATCCAGGGTGACCACAGTCCACCACTGGAGGAGAGAGACATACATAATGGATGCCATCAGCTCAGTGCTGACAGGTCTAATGAAGTGGAAGGTGCGGTCGTCAATCTCTAGAGGATTGAGGCCACACACTATGGGTGAATCCCAAATGGCACCCTATTCCATAGGGCTCTGGTCTAAAGTAGTGCACTATGTAGAGAATAGGGTGGCATTTGAGACGCTGTAATGTATGTTAGCAATAGAGATAGAACTAGATGCTAGACGTCTCGATGAGGGAGGATACTGTATCATACAAACTACTTCACTACTTTAAAAACAACTTCAGAGAATACAAACTATGGGCTAAATTTCCCAGACCCAGATTAAAAGTGCTTTATTGACCAGGACTAGGTTTAATCTGGGTCCAGGTACTGTCCAAAATGTCCCGTACCCCCCGCTCATAGAATAAGACCACTGTACTAGCTCCACCACAATACACATACAGTACTAGCACTTAAACACATAATGGTAACGTTCCAAAGTAGACGGTCCCGTCCTCATCCTTAGTAATACATCTCGATTCCTGTTTAACGTTGTAAATTATCAAGGCCAGAGTGTTAAAATAATCAACTTCTTTCTTCAAATATTCACCCCACAATGTGTTACAATCAGCAAGTTTACTTTAAACTTCATCCTTTTTTGTCTGCCACAGGCCTATAAAAAGTGAGCAGGTCCGGAATGAATGTGCTGAATCAACGGACAGGATGAGGTGTGTCTAAATGAGAAGAACATTTTGGACATGGCGTCCATGTTGCAGCGGGGTGGATCAAACAGGGAACAAGGCATGGAGGAGAAAAGAGCACATTCATTAATCCCGTCTAGGGTCTTCCCGTCCCTTTTAAAACACATCGCAACAGGAACACCAAACTGATTGGGCCAAAGTCGAGCTAACTTATGGATGGTCAGGTTTAAGATAAAACATTAGGCTACGCATCATGTTCACTAAGGTTGGGATTGGGTTCAAACTTCAAAGGAGAGCACTGATTGGAGAACACTACATGCCCCTCATCCAGTAGGAAGCTCAGGTTGTGTTTAGAACTCTGAGACAGCCAGTAGGAAGCCTTGAAGCCAAGTGTTTAGACATGCTGTGTTGCCATTACAGCAGATGCCTGGTGCAGCTTGTTTTGAGGAGAATGTTGCAGGTACACACCATAAAACAGAGGGATCAGCTGCCAATCTGGCATCCCTAATTAGTCTAATATCCACAGCGCTGTTTCACCTGTCCCTCAATTAGAACACTGATCTTAAGCTGCAGGGGGTCACAAAACTCATTCAGCCTCAATTAAAGGAATAATATGCTAATTAGCCACAAGTGTCAAGTTGCTAAATCGGCAGTCTCTAGCTAAGAGAGACAGTCCGTGAGACAGTGACAACAAATTATAGGAACAGATGACAGTAGATACATACCACCAATGTCCTTGAGCAGGTGCTGGATATTAAAATAAGTTCAGTGAATGGTAAAAATAGACTCTGCACACTGCAATCAGCGGTATGCTCCCAAAGTGCTTTATCGGTGACAATGTTTTCTACTGTCAAAACTTCTCCAATATACCACCACGTGAGTATAAGTTGCAGTGTGCAAATTGCTGAGTGTCTTTTGACAATATACAGTGACAGCAGACTCACCGATGCACTCCGGTAGAGGCTTGTCCCACTGTCCCGTGGGTTGACAGGTGAGAACGGGAGAACCGAATGGGTAGAAACCTGGGTTGCAGTCGTAGAACACCACGGTTCCAAAGGTGAAGTTGCCATGTTCTATCTTACTCTGTCTGATGGAGTTGGCTGGGATCCCAGGATCGGAGCAGTTGACCACTGAAGAGAGTGAAAAAGACAAGCATGTGTTATTTGGCAGAAACATGGAAGGGATAAATTCATCCCAACACTTAGGACACGCCTAACCCTCTCGCAGTCACTCATATAGGGCCAGATCAAATCAAATCAAATTGTATTTGTCACATGCGCCGAATCCAACAGTTGTAGACCTTACATTGAAATGCTTACTTACGAGCCCTAAACCAACAATGCAGTTTTAAGAAAATTAAGTGTTAAGTAAAAAATAGATAAGTAAAAAATAAAATAGAAAATAGAAAAATAACAAATAATTAAAAGACAGCAGTAAAATAACAGTAGCGAGGCTATATACAGGGGGTACCGGTACAGAGTCAATGTGCGGGGGCACAGGTTAGTCCAGGTCATAATGAGGCTATATACAGGGGGTACCGGTACAGAGTCAATGTGCGGGGGCACAGGTTAGTCCAGGTCATAATGAGGCTATATACAGGGGGTACCGGTACAGAGTCAATGTGCGGGGGTACAGGTTAGTAGAGGTACTGACATGAAACTGCATTTCTCAGTCCATGAGTCACACTATTTTAAAGTTAAGTCAAATCAAATCAAGGGATTTTTTTTTTATTCCAAAACGTAGTGCACTGGGAATGAGTAGGTGTGTCAAAAGTTTGGACACACCTACTCATTCAAGGGTTTTTCTTTATTTTTACTATTTTCTACACGGTAGAATAATAGTGAAGACATCAAAACTATTAAATAACACACATGGAATCATGTAGTAACCAAAAAAGTGTTAATCAAATCAAAATATATTTTAGATTTTAGATTCTTCAACATAGCCACTCTTTGCCTTGATGACAGCTTTGCACACTCTTGGCATTCTCTCAACCAGCTTCATGAGGTAGTCACCTGGAATGCATTTCAATTAACAGGTGTGCCCTCTTAAAAGTTAATTTGTGGAATTTCTTTCCTTCTTAATGCGTTTGAGCCAATCAGTTGTGTTGTGACAAGGTAGAGGGGGTATACAGAAGATAGTCCTATTTGGTAAAAGACCAAGTCCATATTATGGCAAGAACAGCTCAAATAAGCAAAGAGAAACGACAGTCCATTGTTACTTTAAGAGATGAAGGTCAGTCAGTTTCTTCAAGTGCAGTCGCAAAAAACCATCAAGCGCTATGATGAAACTGGCTCTCATGAGGACTGCCACAGGAATGGAAGACCCAGAGTTACCTCTGCTGCAGAGGATAAGTTCATTAGAGTTACCAGCCTCAGAAATTGCAGCCCAAATAAATGCTTCACAGAGTTCAAGTAACAGACACATCTCAATCTCAACATCAACTGTTTCAGAGGAGACTGTGTGAATCAGGCCTTCATGGTTGAATTAGTGTAACTCAATATTAGGAAGGTATTCTTAATGTTTTGTACACTCAGTGTAATGTCCTCTACCATTAGCAGCTGTATTTTTAATTTCTAGGGTAAATGAGTTGAAATTATATAGACCGAGAACAGAACTACCACAATGTTCCTTTTGTACCTTCCGGAAGGGAGTAACTCAGTAAGAGCTCGTGAGACAATAGTCTCATCTCCATGTTTCTGGTTTGTAACGCTCGTTACATTCAACAAATGTACTAATCATTTCACGTTTGTGTCGATTTGAATAATTAATGCTATAGGTTCGACATTTAAGAAAATGAACCATGCGTCAACATTGCAATGTTGCGCAAACACAATATTTTGCCTTACAATATTAAATCGGACTAAAAATGGATCACATGATAGCTACATAATTTTCACATCTTACTTTTTAATGGGATGTTTTTCACCATTTTCAATGACTATTCATATTTAGCCTTACCAACACATGCGCTCCAGCTGTCCTAGTCATGCGTGCTCCTCGTGTCTTGATAGAATAAACGTTTTTATTGTCTTTACAAATGGCAAACTCATCATGCTTAGCACATTTCCATGGCATGACATAAGGTAATTGACCCCCAGAATCATAAGTGCTTCGGAAACATTCAAACCCTTGAGTTTTTCACATTTTGTTACATTACAGTAATTCTAAAATCTCAGCAATCTACACACAATACCCCTATGACAAAGCGAACGTTTTTTCAGATTTTTTTGGCAAATGTATTAAAATGGCCAACCAGAATACCTTATTTACAATAAGTTTCAGACCCTTTGCATGAGACTCGAAATGAGCTCAGGTGCATCTTTTTCCATTGATCATCCTTGGATGTGCTTTTACACTTGGATTGGGAGTCCACCTGTGGTAAATCAATTGATTGGACATGATTTGGAAAGGCACACAAACTGTCATATAAGGTCCCACTGTTGACAGTGCATGTCAGAGCAAAAACCAAGCCATGAGGTCGAAGGAATTGTCAGTAGAGCTCCGAGACAGGATTGTGTCAAGGCACAGATCTGGGTAAGGGTACCAAAACATTTCTTCAGCATTAAAGGTCCCCAAGAACACAGTGGCCTCCATCATTCTTAAATGGAAGAAGTTTGGAACCACCAAGACGCTGGCTGCCTGGCCAAACTGAGCAATCAGGGGAGAAGGGCCTTGGTCAGGGAGGTGACCAAGCACCCGATGGTCACTCTGACAGAGCTCTAGAGTTCCTCTGTGGAGATGGGAGAAACTTCCAGAAGGACAACCATCTCTGAAGCACTTCACCAATCAGGCCTTTATGGTAGAGTGGCCAGATGAAAGCCACCACTCAGTAAAAGGCACATGAAAGCCCGCTTGGAGTTTGCGAAAAGGCACCTCAAGACTCTCAGACCATGAGAAACAAGATTCTCTGGTCTGATGAAACCAAGATTTAACTATTTGGCCTGAATGCCCAGCGTCATGTCTGGAGGAAACCTGGCACCATCCCTACGGTGAAGCATGGTGGTGGCAGGGACTGGGAGATTAGTCAGAATCGAGGCAAAGATGAACATAGCAAAGTACAGAGAGATCCTTGATGGAAACCTGCTCCAGAGCGCAAAGGACCTCAGACTGGTGCAACGGTTCAGCTTCCAACAGGACAACGACCCTAAGCACACAGCCAAGACAACACAGGAGTTGCTTTGGGACAAGTCTCTGAATGTCCTTGAGTGGCCCAGCAAGAGCACTGAGATGCAGTGCCTTGGACTGCTGCGCCACTTGGAAGCTTGTAGCGTCATACCCAAGAAGACTCAATGCTGTAATAGCTGCCAAAGGTGCTTCAACAAAGTACTGAGTAAAGGGTCTGTATACTTATTTAAATGTAATATTTCAGTTTTTTATTTGTAATACATTTGTGTAGATTGATTAGGGAAAAAACAATTCAATCACTGTATATATATATATATACAGTGAGGAGAACAAGTATTTGATACACTGCCGATTTTTCAGGTTTTCCTACTTACAAAGCATGTAGAGGTCTGTAATTTTTATCATAGGTACACTTCAACTGTGAGAGACGGAATCTAAAACAAAAATCCAGAAAATCACATTGTATGATTTTTTAAGTAATGAATTTGCATTTTATTGCATGACATAAGTATTTGATCACCTACCAACCAGTAAGAATTCCGGCTCTCACAGACCTGTTAGTTTTTCTTTAAGAAGCCCTCCTGTTCTCCACTCATTACCTGTATTAACTGCACCTGTTTGAACTCGTTAACTGTATAAAAGACACCTGTCCACACACTCAATCAAACAGACTCCAACCTCTCCACAATGGCCAAGACCAGAGAGCTGTGTAAGGACATCAGGGATAAAATTGTAGACCTGCACAAGGCTGGGATGGGCTACAGGACAATAGGCAAGCAGCTTGGTGAGAAGGCAACAACTGTTGGCGCAATTATTAGAAAATGGAAGAAGTTCAAGATGACGGTCAATCACCCTCGGTCTGGGGCTCCATGCAAGATCTCACCTCGTGGAGTTGCAATGATCATGAGAACGGTGAGGAATCAGCCCAGAACTACACGGGAGGATCTTGTCAATGATCTCAAGGCAGCTGGGACCATAGTCACCAAGAAAACAATTGGTAACACATTACGCCGTGAAGGACTGAAATCCTGCAGCGCCCGCAAGGTCCCCCTGCTCAAGAAAGCACATATACAGGGCCGTCTGAAGTTTGCCAATGAACATCTGAATGATTCAGAGGAGAACTGGGTAAAAGTGTTGTGGTCAGATGAGACCAAAATTGAGCTCTTTGGCATCAACTCAACTCGCCGTGTTTGGAGGAGGAGGAATGCTGCCTATGACCCCAAGAACACCATCCCCACCGTCAAACATGGAGGTGGAAACATTATGCTTTGGGGGTGTTTTTCTGCTAAGGGGACAGGACAACTTCACCGCATCAAAGGGACGATGGACGGGGCCATGTACCGTCAAATCTTGGGTGAGAACCTCCATCCCTCGGCCAGGGCATTGAAAATGGGTAGTGCATGGATATTCCAGCATGACAATGACCCAAAACACACGGCCAAGGCAACAAAGGAGTGGCTCAAGAAGAAGCACATTAAGGTCCTGGAGTGGCCTAGCCAGTCTCCAGACCTTAATCCCATAGAAAATCTGTGGAGGGAGCTGAAGGTTCGAGTTGACAAACATCAGCCTCGAAACCTTAATGACTTGGAGAAGATCTGCAAAGAGGAGTGGGCCAAAATCCCTCCTGAGATGTGTGCAAACCTGGTGGCCAACTACAAGAAACATCTGACCTCTGTGATTGCCAACAAGGGTTTTGCCACCAAGTACTAAGTCATGTTTTGCAGAGGGGTCAAATACTTATTTCCCTCATTAAAATGCAAATAAATTTATAACATTTTTGACATGCGTTTTTCTGGATTTTATTGTTGTTATTCTGTCTCTCACTGTTCAAATAAACCTACCATTAAAATTATAGACTGATCATTTCTTTGTCAGTGGGCAAACGTACAAAATCAGCAAGGGATCAAATACTTTTTTCCCCTAACTGTAGGTGTGTTACTTTCGCCATGTGTTACTTTCGCCATGTGTTACTTTCGCCCTGGTTCTCCCCTACATGGCACAATGGCTTATTATGAATTCTAAGAACCTGAGACATTGATTCACTGGCATCAACAAAGGCCAACACAGTGTGGGCGTAATATTTACACTTGGCAGGGTAATATAACACAGCAAACACAACGTCACAAAATCAAATGAGTCTGGTTGAAATGCATCGCTGTAAACTAAGTCACATGCAAGGCAAGTGTCATGCACTGGGCAACGGATCAACACAACCATTCAAAAACCCTATACCGGTCAGTGAAACCACCACAACTCACCACAACCACATAACACACAGAAACACAGAGCAACCAAATGTCTCCATTCACCCAACACAGAGGCCATTGTCGTGCTGATTGATTACAATGCTGATTGGTTACAATCCCACTACAAGCCATGATGACCCCCTCCCTTCCTCCTTCCTCCCCATTTTACCCAGGGTGCACTGCAGTGGTCAGGCGGAACGAGCAAGCGTACTCCGTGTGAATAGAAGACTTAACTTTTTTCCCCACCTTTACACGTTGGTGGTGGCTGGCTCCACTGGCGCGTGGCCTGGCACTGGGCCCTCGAGGGCCCCTCCATCACGTAGCCCGTGTTGCAGGAGAAGCTCACCACGTCGTTCAGGTTGAAGCCGTTACCGATGGTCCGCCCGTAGATGGGGCTTCCTGGGTGTCCACAGCTGATTGCTGGGGGGAGATAGAGAAATTGACATTGAGATTCCATTTTAATTCATACTGTATGTAATGTACCGTGTAAAAGTAGGGGTAACATTGAAATTCCATATTGATTCATATGTAATGGATAACTTTTGAGAGAATGCCAAGAGTGTGCAAAGCTGTCATCAAGGCAAAGGGTGGCTATTTGAAAGATCTCAGATATAAAATATATTTTTTGATTTGTTTAACAGCTTTTTGGTTACTACATGATTCCATATGTGTTATTTCATAGTTTTGATGTCTTCACTATTATTCTACAATGTAGAAAATAGTAGAAATAAAGAAAAACCCTTGAATGAGTAGGTGTGTCCAAACTTTTGACTGGTACTGTATCCTTTCTCCAGCTCTGTCCGCCTGGGAGGCATGGATCCTGGGAGGGGAGAAACTGGTGGTTCTGGGCCTATGTATGGGGCCATGGGGACATGATACTAGGAGGGATACTGCAAGACATTGTGGGACTTTATCAGTGAGAGGGAGACTGTCTGGGACTTATGAAATGAGATAATGGACCAGAGACTGAGTCAGTGAGGGAGAGATAAAAGAGGGAGGGAGTGGGAGAGTCTAAGATGTGAGACTGGGGGCTAAGTATGGGTGAGTGATCGCGTACTGGTCTGGAAGTCAGTGTGTTAGGGCAGGGGTCCTCAAACTGGGGTGGTACTGCAAGGGGTACACAGCCAGATCTCAAAATATATATTATTATTATTTTATTTTTATAAAATTTCATATATTTATTTAGGAATACTACAAACAACAACAGATGTAACACATTTTGGCCAAGGGATTCGTGGAATAAGTTTAGAGCAAGGTTTCCCAACCGGCAGCCGTGGGTGATTTTATTTGGCCCCCCAAGTTTTCTGAGCAATTATTATTTAAATGTTTTTGTTGGCCATAAAAGGCTGTAAAAACACCAGCAAATCAGCTCCAAGTGATTTACATTTTGGAAATCAAAATATTCCCACGCATAATAGAGCGATATAGTGTACCTGTATGTGATGGTACACAAATGTAAGCAAGGTTTGAAATGATTATGTTTTAGTCAAATATTATATTCTTGCTGTCAATTTGCAGTCTACAAATTATTTGTAATTATGTTCCGGGCGCCTAACCATCTTCTCAATAAATTATCGACCCGTGGCTGAATCTAGTTGATGATCCCTGGTATAGATAGTGTAATACAATACAATGTAATATTATTACTCAACAATTTATGTTCTTAACCCTGGGCAACATGGCCTGGGAGGCTCACAAGAGATATTGGTATCCACAGTACGCCACCAATTATAAATTTTTCAACTTAATACTCATTGTATTCTCCCAAAAAGTGTTTTTTGTTGTATATACAGTGAGGGAAAAAATTATTTGATCCCCTGCTGATTTTGTACATTTGACAAAGAAATGATCAGTCTATAATTTTAATGGTAGGTTTATTTGAACAGTGAGAGACAGAATAACAACAATAAAATCCAGAAAAACGCATGTCAAAAATGTTATAAATTTATTTGCATTTTAATGAGGGAAATAAGTATTTGACCCCTCTGCAAAACATGACTTAGTACTTGGTGGTAAAACCCTTGTTGGCAATCACAGAGGTCAGACGTTTCTTGTAGTTGGCCACCAGGTTTGCACACATCTCAGGAGGGATTTTGTCCCACTCCTCTTTGCAGATATTCTCCAAGTCATTAAGGTTTCGAGGCTGACGTTTGGCAACTCCAACCTTCAGCTCCCTCCACAAATGTTCTATGGGATTAAGGTCTGGAGACTGGCTAGGCCACTCAAGGACCTTAATGTGCTTCTTCTTGAGCCACTCCTTTGTTGCCTTGGCCGTGTGTTTTGGGTCATTGTCATGCTGGAATACCCATCCACGACCCATTTTCAATGCCCTGGCTGAGGGATGGAGGTTCTCACCCAAGATTTGACGGTACATGGCCCCGTCCATCGTCCCTTTGATGCAGTGAAGTTGTCCTGTCCCCTTAGCAGAAAAACACCCCCAAAGCATAATGTTTCCACCTCCATGTTTGACGGTGGGGATGGTGTTCTTGGGGTCATAGTCCGCATTCCTCCTCCTCCAAACACGGCGAGTTGAGTTGATGCCAAAGAGCTCCATTTTGGTCTCATCTGACCACAACACTTTCACCCAGTTCTCCTCTGAATCATTGGCAAACTTCAGACAGGCATGTATATGTGCTTTCTTGAGCAGGGGGACCTTGCGGGCGCTGCAGGATTTCAGTCCTTCACGGCGTAGTGAGTTACCAATTGTTTTCTTGGTGACTATTGTCCCAGCTTTCTTGAGATCATTGACAAGATCCTCCCGTGTAGTTCTGGGCTGATTCCTCACCATTCTCATGATCATTGCAACTCCACAAGGTGAGATCTTGCATGGAGCCCCAGTCCGAGGGAGATTGACAGTTATTTTGTGTTTCTTCCATTTGCGAATAATCGCACCAACTGTTCTCACCTTCTCACCAAGCTGCTTGGCTTGTCTTGTAGCCCATTCCAGCCTTGTGTAGGTCTACAATCTTGTCCATGACATCCTTGGAGAGCTCTTTGGTCTTGGCCATGGTGGAGAGTTTGGAATCTGATTGATTGATTGCTTCTGTGGACAGGTGTCTTTTATACCCTCCCGAGTGGCGCAGTGGTCTAATGCACTGCATCGCAGTGCTAGCTGTGTCACTAGAGATCCTGGTTCGAATCCAGGCTCTGTCGTAGCCGGCCGCGACCGGGAGACCCATGGGGCGGCGCACAATTGGCCTAGAGTCATCCAGGGTAGGGATAGGAATGGCCGGCAGGGATGTAGCTCAGTTGGTAGAGCATGACGTTTGCAACGCCAGGGTTGTGGCTTTGATTCCCACGGGGGGCCAGTATAAAAAATAATGTATGCACTCACTAACTGTAAGTCGCTCTGGATAAGAGCGTCTGCTAAATGACTAAAATGTAAATGTAATACAGGTAACACACTGAGATTAGGAGCACTCCCTTTAAGTGTGTGCTCCTAATCTCAGCTCGTTACCTGTATAAAAGACACCTGGGAGCCAGAAATCTTTCTGATTGAGAGGGGGTCAAATACTTATTTCCCTCATTAAAATGCAAATCAATTTATAACATTTTTGACATGGGTTTTTCTGGATTTTTTTGTTGTTATTCTGTCTCTCACTGTTCAAATAAACCTACCATTAAAATTATAGACTGATCATGTCTTTGTCAGTGGACAAACATACAAAATCAGCAGGGGATCAAATACTTTTTTCCCTCACTGTAACAGCAAGGGTGTGTGTGTGTATCTCTGTGTGTATGTGTGTGTGTGTGTGTGTGTGTGTGTGTGTGTGTGTGTGTGTGTGTGTGTGTGTGTCACCTCGCGAAAACCCCCAGCCCCACTGTGCTTACTCAATGAATGTTTTGACGTGTGTAGGAACAAACAGGTAGAAACAGAGCAGACACAGAGGATTACTTCCACCTCCTCTCCTCCATTTTGGGTTGCAGTAATCCTTTCCTCTCTCTCTCCTCTGTCCGCCAGCCTGGCAGTGTATGGTAACCTCAGTCTGAACTCATAGCCCAGTCCACCTCAGTCTGAACTCATAGCCCAGTCCACCTCCGTCTGAACTCATAGCCCAGTCCACCTCAGTCTGAACTCATTTCCCAGTCCACCTCAGTCTGAACTCATAGCCCAGTCCACCTCAGTCTGAACTCATAGCCCAGTCCACCTCAGTCTGAACTCATAGCCCAGTCCACCTCCGTCTGAACTCATAGCCCAGTCCACCTCAGTCTGAACTCATTTCCCAGTCCACCTCAGTCTGAACTCATAGCCCAGTCCACCTCAGTCTGAACTCATAGCCCAGTCCACCTCAGTCTGAACTCATAGCCCAGTCCACGAGAATTAACTACTGAGATGCATCCCACCCCAGGCACTGCTTCTCTACTGCAGACAATGTCAAAAACAACTGTTTTTTTTATTAACTTGATTTAACAATGTTGGATTTTCAAAGTCATATGGCCTTTTATTGATGTGAATCGTCAGTGAAAAGAAATGTTTATGCTTAAATATTTTTCAGTGTTTCAATGCTTTAGGCATCACACGATAAGGAGGATATAATTTCACTGTCTTGTGTATGATCATAGAACGAAGTTGAAATTGAACTTGAAGCAGCAAGCCATATCTGGCTGTGTCTGCACTAAGGTTTTGAAGGATCTCTCAGAGACACACTTGGACCAGAAATCGTCCCGGGCATTTCTAACAGACTGACCAAATGACGTTCCTTGAGGCCCCCACACCAGCTATTTTTTTCCCTTGAGGCCCTCATTGTTAGCTAAATGATGATCATTCTTCACAAAAAATAATAACAATATGGCATTTGCCCAAACTTCCATTATGGCCAGTCCGATTCTGGGCTCTCTGTCACACTAAGACTATGAGGGAGAACCTGAAGTGGTCTGAGTGTCTGTAGAAAGTGATTCCTCACAAAGTCTCCTTTGTCTCTTACCCATGGAAGGTCCAGACACACTTCATTCCTCATTGCCATTCTCAGCTGCTCTCTCTCCCTCTCTCTCTATCTCTCCCTCTCCCTCCCCCCCTCTCACCCCTGGAGGGTCCAGACACACTTCATTCCTCATTGCCATTCTCAGCTGCTCTCTCTCTCTCAATTAAATTTCATTTCAATTTAAGGGCTTTGTTGGTATGGGAAACGTATGTTAACATTGCCAAAGCAAGTGAAGTAGATAGTAAACAAAAGTGAAATAAAAAATAAATATTAACAGTAAACATTACACTCAGAAGTTCCAAAAGAATAAAGACATTTCAAATGTCAAATGATGTATATATACAGTGTTGTATCAATGTGCAAATAGTTAAAGTACAAATGGGAAAATAAATAAACATAAATATGGGTTGTATTTACAATGGTGTTTGTTCTTCACTGGTTGCCCTTTTCTTGTGGCAACAGGTCACAAATCTTGCTGCTGTGATGGAACACTGTG